TATCCCCGGGGTTTGCCGGCCCCAGCATGCCTTAATTAGTGAGCTCTAATTCAGTGAGAGACCACATCAACAAGATAAGACAGAGAGGAAGAGAGGACGACCCTCAAATGTTGGCCTCTGTGCGCATGCACGCTCACACAGACAAGGGGCAGGCTGAGGACGGCCAACCATAGGGGCTTTGTTAGCAGTGCAGGGTTCAGGGCCAGGTTGAGTCCCACAAAGTTGATGCCTTGATCCCTAGCTACCCAGGCACCTCTGCTCTGAGCAGTCAGAGGCACTCTATCAGAACCAATGCGCTGATCATGTGTTATCTGAGAACTGAGGGAACTGAATTAATGTATGATCAGAGATAAGAATGGATCTAAATTCCATTGTGCTATTTCAAAGAAAGCACACCGAATAAACCGAATTTGGGGAAGTGCGTGAAGCAACACCACTTTGCCTATTCCTCAGCCAGGACTCTCAGAATGAACGCAAGGATTTAGTGATCTGATCGCGTTTGTTCCTAAGGTGTGGTAGGTTTTGTGTGGGTCAACTTGACAGAATCTGGAACCATCTTGGGGTGATTCTGAGCCTGTCAGTCAGGGAGGTCCTAGATTAGGCTAACTGTGATGGGAATTCCTGCCTAAATGTGAGGGGTAGCTTTTTGTGACAGGGTTGAGGGTGGTCACGTAGGGAGACAGCAGAGTTCAATCCCTGGCATGGAAAAGGAATTGAATGACTAGGAAGACAGCAGGCCAAGCCACAGAAAAAAAAGGGAAAACAACAGCCATTTATACATATACATATACATATACATATACATATACATATACATATACATATGGGCATGGGAGACAGCAAAGATAGGAGGTTCAGTAAGCAGATGCTGGACTGGGTATTTTACAGTGCCCCTGGGTCCTCCCTTCTCTCTTATTAGCCCTGTTTAGATCCTTGCTCCCATACTTTTCTGTCATTCCTCACAGGCAGCCAAAGGGCTGATCTCATTAATCATGACCCCTCCCCAAGTAGAAAATCAGACAACCCAGGCTCTGGGTCCCATTTGACTTTGGGATGTCCTCACCTGCTTCTTCAGTTTCAGTGTCCTCACTGGCAAGCGTAAACATGGAGATCCCTACGTCATGATATTCTGGGCAAATGCCATTGTATCATGCATGCCCTCACTGCGTACACTGAGTTGAAGCCAGGGATGCAGAGGGCATGGGACAGTTGTTCACCTTGCTGGGCCAACACAAGCAGATGGTGGTGGAGAGGGGGCCATGTTGAGGTCCTGCTCCAGAGCCCTTGGGCTCTGTTCCAGATGACACAAACTTGGTGGCTTTGAGTGAAAACTTTTTCTGCCACAGTTTTTAAGACAGAGTCCAGGAAATATTTTATTGGGACCAAGTTAAGATTTGGAGGTGTCATCAGAGTCTTTAGGAACAGTGCTGTTCTGTCCACTGACATCTTCAGGCAGCTGCCAGCATTTCTGCCTAGTGGCTGCCATCCCTTCTCTACCTTTGTTGGGCCATAGCTCTATGAAGTATTTGGGTACCACTCTGGCAAACTTCCCATGCTGAGATCCTGAAACTTAATCTTCCCTTTTCAAAGGCTCAGTCTCCACACTCGGAGACATTGTGTCTTCCAGGAATGAAGATACTCATACCACTGGGGCCCTTGTTGAGAGTAACACAGCCTTTCTTCACCACTGAGGAAATAGTGCAGAGGCTAAGGGTGAAGCAGCAAACAGGTGTAAAATACAAATGTACAAAGAGCCATAGAGGCCCCACCTGAAAATAAATCCCAGAGGAAGGAAATAGTCAGAGGAGGAGCCAGGCAGAGACCGTTCCCCTCCCAGGGACCAGGACCTGTGAAGAAGCGGTGAAGTCGTCAGTTTGAGTGGGCACAGCGAGGTCAGGGCCTGATCTTGAAAATGGGCACAGTGTCTTGAGACGTGCAGACTTGAGCAGCTGTTTCTGAGGTGGGTGCTACTGCACACCTGTGCACAGACTCCAGCCAGGAGGAAGAACTACAGCTGTGACCCATGTGCACTGCAGGGACGTGATTTAGACACTTTCTTTTTTCTTTTGTTTTTTTTCATGACAAGGTTTCTCTATAGCTTTGGAGCCTGTCCTGGAACTAGCTCTTGTAAACCAGGCTGTCCTCGAACTCACAGAGATCCACCTGCTTCCGCCTCCCAAGTGCATTACCACTGCCCAGTGATGTTTTAGACACTTTCTAATGGTATCTACGTCATATGTCATGTTTCAAGTAGATGGAGCGCCCCCACCGCCTGATATCTCCCAAGTAGAAATCATAGAAGGAGAACGGAGAAAGAAGACACGGAGGGAAAAGGGGTGGGAGAATTGGGGAAGACAGATGATGAAGAGGAAGAAAGGAAAGGAGGGAGAAGGGGAAGAGGAGGGGGAGAGGAAGTAGAGGAGGAGGGGGGTCCCTCCTGAGTCTTGGTTCTTCCCTGGGTGGAGTTCGTGGTTTCTCCTGCCTCTCTAGCCTGCCACGAGCTACCCTCCTTCCTGCTCAGACTTCAGCAAATAGGGCTAAGAGCCCAATGAACTCCTCCTGAGCATGCAGGGCCCTCTACCTTAGCTTCCCTGTGTTTACAACCTTTCCAGTTGACAATCTTTCCAGAACAATATGTCTCCAAGTGGGGAGCCAAGCAGGTGTCTTCATTTTTATCACAGGCGGGAAATTAGGAGTCAGAAATTTGGTGATGGGACAAGCTTTGGGAATGCTAATCTAGGAAGGCAGATTGGTGTCTGTCACCATGAAGGGACTGGACCTGGTCTGAGTGCTGGACCTGTGGTGTGGCCTTTTGTCCTGGTTGTTTTTCTTTTTGTCCATTTGACACAATTTGGACAAGTCTAGGAAGAGGCGATCCTAATTGAGAAAATGATCTGTGGGCATGTCTGTAGATTATTTTCTTGGTTAATGACCACCGTGGGTGCAAGCTGAGCAAGTCATGTGGAGTAAGCCAGCAAACGGTACCCTCTGCATCACTCTGCCTCCAGATCCCTGCCCTGACTTCCCCCAGTGACGAACTGTGGTGTGGAGTGAGAAGTTGAGCAAGGCCATTCCTCCGCGAGTTGCTTCTGTGTCTGTAAAAAGTAGGTAGCAACCAGGGCTCCGATGTCGACCCGCCAGAGGTGTGGTTATCTGATGGAGGACTGATCCTGTCCAGACAAAGCCTGCAGGGCCACAGACTCCGAAAGTTGTTGCTCACTTTTGCTGAAACAGCTTTGTGTCTCCCCTATACCCGCATTGTGGTGTGTAATCTCATGTGATGTGTAGATGCAATCTCATGATTGCATGTTAATCTTATGGGCACATGTATCCGTGGGCGGTCAGGCAAATGACTTTTCATTTAGCTATATAGTTCTGATATATAGAATATATATGGGAACAAGCTTCATAACGATCTATTTGTCCCACAAGGACTGTGGTCATTTAAAAGCCTGCCTTGTTCTTTTGCTTACTGAATGGCTTTCCCCACCCTATGAAACTTCCAATGAGAGAATTTAGTCACATAGCAAGAAAATTTGGTTTCCACAGCAATATCTCCATTCTCTTCCCTGAGACACATTAGAAGCCACCTCTCTGCAACTCTCTTCCATTTGGCAGGACATGCAGTCAGGAACCTTCAAAGATAAATGGACGTCCAAGCTCAGAGAATTGCCTCTGTTTTGTGTGTGTATAAACTGGAAACTTTACAGAACAGAGAACAGCAGGCAAAGAATAAAGAAACTGATGCAGAAAAATATATAGTGGAGAGTTCATTTTTGCCCTCAGTTCCTTCTAGGTCCCATGCTTCCTGTGAGTCTTCTGAACCCTGAGGGGACACTGAGGCTGGCACTCAGAGGTTCCTGATACTTTGGGTCATGGTGTTTTATCACAGCAGCAGAAGCCCTAATTAACAGACCTTTTGGGATGGTGGCTAAGGGGCCACTCCTGAGCCTTCCTGCTTACATAGGCAGAAAACAAAAACAGACAAAACACTAAACCTTTCACCCTGTAGGCACAGAGCAGGCACTATCAGGTAACAGCTTCTACTTGAGCAGATTTTATTTTATTTATTTGTTTATTTATTTATTTATTTTATTTATTTTGGTTTTTCGAGACAGGGTTTCTCTGTGGTTTTGGAGCCTGTCCTGGAACTAGCTCTTGTAGACCAGGCTGGTCTCGAACTCACAGAGATCCGCCTGCCTCTGCCTCCTGAGTGCTGGGATTAAAGGTGTGTGCCACCACCGCCTGGCTTGAGCAGATTTTAATCCACTCAGTCAGGCCTGTTCTCATCCCAACAGGAAAGAAATTATTCCAAAGGGAAACTTGGGTCTCTCTCTTTTGTGGTCAGAAGAAACACAAACTTTTGAGGCAATGGACCCAGGAAACTAAGTACCCCAGAATTCCCTGCCAGGAGAATAAGAAAGCCACATCTTCCCTGGGGATAGCTGGGTGAGGGACGAGGCAACCAGTCTTTCAGAAAGAGATTTCCTACAATTCTGAGAAGTTATCCTTTTACCCTATAGGAGGGGAGCTGAGACAAGTTGGCCTAGGCTTCTCTGCTTAACCACATCCTCACTGCAGGACCCTGATGATGGATAGGGGCCAGGGAGACTCTCTCTAGATCTCTGTTCCCTTTTCCAGTAGGAATAAGTCTCTGCTTTTCACTAACACCCCATCTGTTTACTTGACCTACTGAGGATGAACTGCCATGCCTAGCTTGTTAGGAGTGTCAGGGTCCCAACTCTAAAGCTAAGGACTCTGATAATGATGTTGGCACTCCAATCAGGAGAAAAGACTAATGTTGGATGTCAGCCACTCACAGTAAGTTTTCCCCAGGTGGAGAGGGAAGGCTGGAAAGTGCCACACAGGAAGTGAACTCATATCCAGGGAATTTTTCTCAACTTCAGCAGCTTTTCCACCAGGTAGATCTGAGAAATAAGGATTTATGCTTTGTTTTAGACTTTCAAGAAAATTTGACCCTCAGTAAATTTCTTCCCACTATGGGCACCTTGGACTTTGCCTTCCTTCGGTTTGAAGGCTCCTTTGAGCAATGTGAATTTTTTTTGAACCAGTTTGGAAACTGTTGTCAGAGTTCTCCTGAGCTGCATCCATTTTGTTGGACTCCTGGGGTGAATGGCAGCTCTTTTGAGCAAGATTGGAGTTCTGTTGGATCCTTTGGGCATCTGTCGCCCAAGGTTGGTACCTGTCAATGCCTGCCGGGGAAGGTTGGTATGAGTTGGTGTTTATGGGGCCATTTAAGGTTCTGTGGGAAATTATTTCGGGTCCTTTGTTTTAACGATCTGATAATAGAAGTCACTTTCTTTGAAATCTCTTCTCTCCTGTCCAGTAGGCCACAGTGTGTACCTATCGCCTATTCTGATCTACGGTGGCCCTGGCACTACCTCTCTCCCCACTTTCTAGTTGCACCGCACTAAGCCAGTCTCTGGAAAGGTGGCCAAGCCCTCAGGTTACAGAGTACACGACACAGTCCCCTGGCCAGCCTCCACAATCAGCCCCAGGCTCTTCTCCAGCCTGAAGCATCTCTGTATGCATTGGGACTGAGTGTCCCTACACCCTCCCTGCCCCTGCAATCAGCTTATAAGTCTCCAGGGAAAGACTATGAGGGACAGTCAGCGCTGCACCGTGACCCTCCCGCTGGCCTCAGCCGATTCTACTCAGTAAGTGCTTCACCATCCTCCTCTTGAGTCCTCAGGGTGGGCATTGCCAGCCTCCATCCCTTGGGTTCAACATCTCGTTCATTCACACATGGGAAATGAAGGCACCTAGCTCATCTCCTACGCACAGAGTTCAGAGAACAAAGACATTACTCTGGGTTCTCAACACACAGTAGGCACACAGTGTGTGCTGATAAGGGCGGGGCTGGAGACCTGTTTTGGATCCTGTACCTTTGGCCTCCCCCTGTTCTCTGCCTATAGAGAAGTGAGAAGCCACCTTAGGCAAACTCACTCCCCGAACCCCCAACCGGCACATGATCTGCCTTGGGGATCCTTCTTAGGGCTACCCACTCTGAGTCAGAGACCCTGCTGAGGACATGGTGAGTCTATAACCATCTACAACCCTAACTATCTTGGGGAGAAAGGAGTCTTTTTGGTTCTGGATTTTCAGAGCTAAATTCCAGAGGACAGTCTGGTCCTCAGCCCTCTTTCTTTAGCCCACTCTCCTACCTGGGTATTCTGATCTTGATATCCTGGTGAGAACTCGGGAGCCCCAAGGGAGAGATGTGTTCACTAACTCCTGGAATAGCTGGACTTGCCCTCTGTCCCTCTTTTTCTCTTCTGGATTCATGGGCCTTGGCTAGTCCTAATTGTTTGTGTTGTCCCCCCGTCTTTTTTTTCTTCTGGACTCATGGGTCTTGGCTAGTCCTGTTCGTGGTTTGCTAAGCCCACTCCCCCCCCCCCATGGACTGTTCTGTGGTTGAATCTGAGTGTTCTCTGTGATGTATCTGCATTCATTTCATTTACCACCCCCACCTGCCTCATTCCAAAGATGAGATGTGTGTGTGTGTGTGTGTGTGTGTGATTAGAAGCAGAGTCTAGACTAGAACAGCTGTCATCCTTTCTGTCTCAGAAACTGTGACTCTTCAGAGTTTGAAGGAGCAAACCACATTCATTAGAGCAAATGGCAATATGCATACATGTGCATGTGTACATGCACATACACACACACACAATGGGGACAGGGGAGAGCACATGGTGGCAGCTGCCTTTATATGTAGGAATCCTGATGGACCCTGACTTAGGACTTGTGTCTCCATCTCTGTCTTGCAGGACAATGTCATTCTCTATCTCCCAGGGTCTCCTTTTGCTAGCAGGCCTGTGCTGCCTTTTCTCTGGCTCCCAGCCTCAAGATCCTCTGGTGATAGATGTGAATGAGCACGATCATGAGCATCAGGAGCACCTGCCCTGCCAACGCATCTCCTACAGCATCATCCAATTAACCTTCACCTTGTATCAGAAGTCGGAGAGTTGGGCAAAAGACACCAACATCTTATTCTCCCCAGTGAACATCATTGTTGCCACTTTAATGCTCTCCCTGGGGACCAAGAATAGCACCCACAGCCAGATCCTGGAAGGACTGAAGTTCAACCTCACAGAAATACCCAAGAACTACATTCACGAATGCATCAAGAAACTCCTCTCTATCCTCCGTCTGCCAGACCACAGGTCCCCGCTGACTATAGACAGCAGCCTATTCACTGACCAGAGTCTGAAGCTGGTGGACAAGTTTGTGAAGGATGTCAAGGGGCTGTACTACTCAAAAGTCATTGCTGTCAACTTCACGGACACCCAACGGGCCCAAAAACAAATCAACGACTACGTGGCAGATGAAACCCAAGGGAAAATAGTGGGATTGGTCAAGGATCTGGAGAAAGACACAACGTTTGCCTTGATGAACTACATCTTCTTCCAAGGTAAGGTGGGACCACCAGGGTTAGTGACCTCAAGGAAGCCACCCAAATATGTCCTCATGCTCCAGTATTTAATTCTTCCTTGACATACCAGAATGTAGCAGGCAGCATTGAAATACGATTTTCAGTTCTTCCATCAGAAATAATTCAGTAACATCTATAAACCTATAGGTTGGGGATGATGGGTTAAAACCAGCCAGACCACTGTCTCCTTGAGTTATCTTAATGGTACCAGAACCCACCTCTTACAACTTTACTGGAACACTAGGAGATGGGAACTGATTTTAAAAAATGTTTTGTTGGACTTTTTTTTTCCAGTTTAGATCAGAACTAGGGTGAAGGAACTTCTCTCTGCCTGACCAATAGCAGTGTTTTGATTTATAGAAAAGATAATGCAAAAGGCAAAATGTTCACACGTGCAGACTTAGCTGTGAGGTAGCAGTCAGAGCTGTGACACTGACCCTTTTCTAGAACATGGCTTCTTCCTCAGCCATCAGTACTATGGGTTGGTCTCCCTCCTAGCACGGGATGTCCGAGAGATATTTTAATCCCTCAGTGTCCCTGTTACATGATGACAACTCTTCCTTGTTCACTCTCAAGTCTTAAGGAACTTGGGATGTTAGCCTATCTATTGTTGGAATGTGTGGAAACTTCCTAGATATTCTTGTACCTAAAAAACAATCCTTGGCAGAATACTACTAGGAACCAAAGTCCTAACATCATTCAGACGGACTTTTTCTTAGACACACTTGTTGCACAAGTGACTCCATTTTGGATGTTGTTGGGTTTCGTTTCATTTTGGTTTTTTAACAGTAACTTACTGTGTCATCTATGCTGACCTGGAACTCGTGACCCTCTGAGTTGGTGCACCACCAAGTCTGTCATGACTCCATTTTATTCCAGCAATTTCTCTCTCTTTGCCTCAATACATTTTTCCTCCGCACACATGATTATTTTGCTTGTATTAACCTGTGAATCTTTATGAATTTCATATAACATTTAGATGATGCTTATACACACAGCATATTAAGTCGTTAGACACAGACGGTATAGATGATAGCTAGCTAGATGATAGATAGATAGATAGATAGATAGATAGATAGATAGATAGATAATAGATACATACATACATACATGATAAATAGATAGATAGATAGATAGATAGATAGATAGATAGATAGATAGAAGATTCCAATTACAGCAGACATATCTATGCCAAACATAATATAATAACTTAAACAATTAGATGCTAATTTAACCAGCATTATAAGATAATCATTTAAAAGACATTAGAACAGAGAGATTCTTTTTAAGTCCTTGTTTCTCTCAAAGATGAAGACCCAATACTTAAAAGAAGCTGTGAGCTCAGTGCTGTGGTGCAGGCACAGGCATGAGGACCTGGTTCAGAGCATGGCACTCATGCAAAAGCTGGGCATAATGGTAACTGACCATGACCCCAGCAACAGAGGATACAGAGAAATAAATCTTGGGGGCTTGTTGACCAGTCCAGAAGAATCAACAAACTCCGGGTTCAGTGCAAGACCATGTCTCAAAAATTAAGGTGGAAGGGCTGGATAAATGGCTAAACAATTGAAAACGTGTGCAGTTCTTGCAGAGACCCAAAGCTGGTTTGCCAGCATCCACATTGGGCAGCTCACAGTCACCTGCTTTGGTGCCTTCAGGGGACCTGACACCTTCTTCTGACCTCCACAGGCACATGCATAGGCCAGCACAGAGACAGAGACACATGACTGTAAAAATAAATAAATAAAACTGAAATTTGGGTAGAGGGCATGAGAGGAGAACACCCTGAAATCAACCTTCAGCCCCCACATACACGTGGGGGCAAGTACATCAGAACAAACACATGCACACGCACAGAGACATACATGCCCTTGGGAGGCAGAGGTGCATGGGTCATGACGAGTTGGAGGCTACACAGTGAGCTTCAGGCCAGCCTGGGCTATATAGTGAGCTTCAGGCCAGCCTGGGCTACATAGTGAGACTCTGTCTCAACGAACAAGTTCCTGTATAACAACTTCCTCTTTATCTTTCTTCCTACTTGACTCACTTTTTTCTTTCTTGTTCTTCCATATATCAATTAGACCATCCTCGCAAATTTTTTGTTTTCTTTTTTTTTTAACAAAATAAAACATTTTCCTGTTATCTTACAAGTTTAATTAACCGATCTGTCAAAGATTTACCTACGTCCTGTGAACTAGGAGGCATCTGGGAGACCTTATTTAGTACAATATACAAACACACGTATGTGCAGATTAAGTAAGCAATTGCATCTCTCAGCCTCCCAGAGGTGAGCTCCCCACCTCCAGAGTCACATGTCCCCCACAGTCTGTGTTTGGGGTAGGTATCACTACTTACTTATAGATACCATGAAAATGATCAGCCTCTCTTTCTGTTACCAGTCTGGTGAATTTAATTTATTTGCAGCCAATGCTATGTAAACGAGGAATGGGAAAAAAATCCATGTATATAAGACATGCCCCCAAAGCTGAGGAAATATCCCCCAATTCCCAAAATACAGGACTAGCTTGCCGTGACCAGTCTAAGTCTCTTCCTCCAGCGCCCTTCCTCCTGGCTGCCTTGCCAAGAATGTTAGCAGAATCTGAATGGTGACTGTATACCACTTCACCAGGAAAATAGGAAACCGGGCCTGGCTGAAGGAAATTATCTCATTTACAGTCTTGACTCAAACTGAGGGAGAAAGATCTCTAGATCTTTCTTCTGCCTTACCTGCACAGCGTCACAATTAATAGGAGAAAAATGAAACAAAAGCCAAGACGTATTCCTATGTAGACTGACTTCAGTGTGTATGATCAGAACTGAGATTAACCAATTTCTGGTCTCCTCCCTGGCTGCCAGGGCTTCCAGCTGCTCTCATTCCCAGCGTGAGGTTTCCTGGGGAAATTTTAATTCCGACTCTGTTACACTGTTACCCAGGCTCACTGGAAATCTCTAAGGGGGTTGAGTACCAGATATATGACATTTCCCTGGTTGTCAGTCAAATATGCAAATTTCTACAGAAGGCAAAGGTCAAACAGTGCTTTGGGGGGACTTGATTTGCTAAAGTCTGGAGTAACTGAACAGAGTCAGCAGTGAAGTACGCAAAACCTGGGTTCAGATTCTGTCTTCACCGCCCATTAGTCACCATATAGGGAAAGCTAACTTACATGCTTGGGATGTGAGCGTCCTGGCTTATCGAGGGGGAAAGAATACCATTGCTGTCAATGTGTGCAAACACTTGCCTTGATACTTACCTAAGCAAGCTACGCAGAATGTGTATCCTAAGGCTTCTCTATTAATGTGAGTCCCTCATCCAGGGAGGGAGTCACTGCTGAGGCATTACATGACTGGGACCCTTCAGGCCTGGCCCCCATGCCTTAGCCAGAGCTTTGGTGGACAGTTGGACAGTCTTGAACTTGTAGACAGACACAATGCTCTGTACCATAGTGCAGGCCAGACTCAGAGGCAGCAATAACACTCAGCCTAAACAGGTATCTTCTCCTTGGTGCAGACAGACACACCTTCATCCTCAGCAGCCAGAACCCACCATGGTTTTTTCAACAGCTGCTTGCCTAATGGCAGGAGCAAAAGCAAGGAGCTGATCAAATAACCTTGGTGTTCAGTCTGACTTGCTTCCTTTGAGTGCTAGGCGACATCAGGGCCTCACAAGGCCACATCCCAAAGATGCTTCCACATCCCCCAGCGTGTATCACTCAGAAGGTGGGGGAGGGGCGTCGAGGCCATGGCTGCACCTCTGTGTATTCCCACAGAGCCCAGCAGAGCAGCGCAGCACAGGGCACCAAGGAAAATGTCAGCACCAGGAGGCCCCAGCTCTGCTATGATGCGGAGGATGCTGAGCATCTGTCCAACACTAGGAAGGCTTGAGGTTCCCCGAGGTGCCTACCCTCTCCGACAGCCTTGACAGAGAACACTTGTACAGCAGAGAGGCTTTTCCTAGGTCCGTGCACTTTATTTGGATCTCCTGAGACGGAGATCCAGAGGTTCCCACTAGACTTTCCCGGAACACTGACCGGAGCACAGTCACAGAAAGTCACCAGAAAAGAGATAACCAGATTCGACATACAAGGTTATAGGAGACTGTGTCTCCATTTAGCATCCTCAGCGGACTACCTGAAGAACGCGAAATAAAACTGCTTCTCTGCTGGAGCCAGGTTTTCACAGATCAACCCACACAGTTCTCTCAGCCCCTTCCTACAGCTCCAGACCATTTTCTAAGGTGCTGTCAAGTATCCAGATGGGCTCTTCTCCAGCCCAGTTTACAGCTGATGAAGCCGAGGCTCAGAGGGAGCGTCTCACAAGGCACTCCATACTTCTTTTCTCTAGCACTTAGCTTAACCCTTGACTCCACTGCTATCTGATGCGCCCCTCCCCTCTCTCCAGGCAAAGGGTTTGAAGAAGTCGATGTGGAACACACCTTAGAGGCAGACTTCCATGTGAGCAAGGACACGACCATCAAGGTGCCCATGATCAATTGCCGGAGTAGATTTTTCTTGCACCGCGAAGAAGAACTGTCCAGCTGGGTGCTGGTAAAACATTACATGGGGGATGCCACTGCCTTCTTCATGCTGCCCGACCAAGGGGAGATGCAGAAACTAGAGAAAGCCTTGAATGAGACTCACTTCATAAACATCTTAAAGCTCATTGACTTAAGGTGAGTCCCCGGGCAAGGGATCCACGCGCTGCTACCCAGCCTCTGAGCTATGACATGACAGGGCCTTTCAGCACTGGCCCCCGTCTCTCAGCCAAAGCTTATAGACAGATGCAGTATGAGTCAGGCTCAGAGACAGGAACAATGCTCAGAGTTAAGTCTCCTTGGCCAAGACACACCTCCACCTTCAGCAGCCAGAGGTTCTCAACAAAGGCAGAAACAAAAACAAGGAGACTGGTCTTAGGCCTCTCAGCCTCAGCAGGGAGTGGAGGGCATGAGAGACAAGGAGGAAGGGCCTAGAACAGGAGAGGGCCAGCCAAGAGGAGCTCAGAGCATGACTATAGAAGGCTATGTTCCTGTCACCCTTCAGTGAGGTTTATTGGGTTCCAGGGAGCCAATAGTTGTGGAATGTGCTCCTCCCCCTCCAGGTCGCTGACCCTGCTATTGGGGAGTTCAGGCCCTGCTCTCCCTTGGCGAGGAAGGCATTGATACATAGACGCTCAGGTGGGCTCAAGGTGAACTGTGCACAGATGTCCTGCCTCACCCCCTAGTCCCACACCTGCTGAGGCCCAGCACCCAGCAGAAAGCAGAGTCAGGCAGGTTGAGAACAAACTGAGGGCAGCTTCAGGATTGCTCTGTTCCCTTAGCATAGACCCTCTAGGTGACTTGTCTTGTCTGTGCAAACTGAGGGCTGAGCCTCAGCCTGGGGAGTCACACACACAAGTCTCAGAGTACATCGACTCTTCTTGGAGGGCTTCCTGGATGAGGTGGGTGGCCTTCCAGGAGGTGCGAGCGCGAGATGAGACCATTGCTGTCACGACACTGAAGGACGCCTTCCTCTCTTCTGCACACCAGGACTGTAAATCTGTACTTTCCCAAACTGTCCATATCCACAACCTATGACCTGAAGACCATCCTGAGCACCCTGGGCATCACCCAGGTCTTCAGCAATGAGGCTGACTTCTCAGGGATCACGCCGGACGCTCCCCTGAAGCTCAGCAAGGTGCGGTCATGTGACGAGGGCGGTACCCCAGCTGCCAATAGGGCTGAATGGAATGTCAGGACAGATCAGACAGGAGGCTGAGGATGGGACTAGGGGACAGAGACACAGCGTTTCCCACAGACTCCAGAGGTGTACTGTGGAGAACACAGAGGCAGAGAGCAGCGGCAGGATAAGGAATCGTATGCTCTCATAAAGCCCTTCTTGAAAGGAACTCAGTGGCCCAAAATTTAGTGTTTACCCAGGGCTGTTAATTCCTGGTAAGTTGATTCCTCAACTTACCTATATTAATATAGAAAGACATTGGCTCAGATCATCTTCAAAACCCTTGTCTCAACGCACACTGGAAAGGAGACATGTTTATGGGAGACGGGAAGGACAGGGGTTCCCTCTGAAGCTAAGTCTATGAGAGATGGTTCAGGAGAGGAGGGAAAGGGAAGGGAGGGGAGGGGAGGGGAGGGGAGACAAGGGAAGGGAGTTAAGAGGAGAGGAGGAGAGGGGAGGGGAGGAGAAAGGATGGGAAGGAAGAGGGGTGGAAGGGAAGGGAGGGAAGAGGAGATGAGAGAAAGGAAGGGGAGAGGAGGGAAGGGGAAGAGAGCAGTCTGAGTGTGAAAGGGTTGCACACATTGGGAAAGGCCTCTATTGAGCAGTAGGGTTCATGGGGCCATGGGCAGGGAGGGCATGGTCACAGCGAGGCTCTTCATGGATGAGGACCCTACATGAGATCTGGTGTTAGCCTGGGGTGGGCGCAACCTCCAACTCCCTCTGCTTCTCCCCTACAGGCTGTGCAAAAGACCGTACTGACCTTCAATAACGAAGTGACAAAAACTGCCAGGAACAGTAGCTTGAGTAAGATGGCCTTGTCTAAGGTCCCCGTCATCCGTTTCAACAGGCCCTTCATAGTTATCGTTAAAGATGAATACACCAGTGTCCCCCTCTTTGTGGGGAAAGTGACAAATCCCACCGAAAATAGTTGACTTCCAATTCCAGTCATCCTCACCACCCCGTTCCAGCATGTCCCCTCCTGATGACATTAAACACGGGATAGTTCCGCTCACTCCTGAATGCGATCAGCAAATCTCTGTCCTGGTGGTGTCTGTGTCTTCCTGTCTCCTGAGGAGTGTGGGGGGACTCCTGAGCACAGTACGTCTCACTGTCCCCTGCATCCATGTTTAGGCGATCTCTGTGCAGTCACATCTCCAGCTCTGAAAGGAGAGGGCCGTGTCCCCTTCTGGTTGTACTGCGTCATCTCACTGGGCCTATCCTCTCTGTCTCGCGGGGAAATCCCTGAGACTAGCTGGTGGAGATGGTTGGTAGAGGTCTTCCTCCTCAGGGCTGGAGCAGGACCCCAGTCTCTGTCCTTGTCATTCCTTCCCTGCCAGAGGAGTCTCACAATCCCCCAATGAACAGGAAGCTCTCTGGGTCCTATCTGGTCAGTAACCACTAAGCCAATCACTCTGTCCTCGCCAGTCATGTGTCCTTTGTACTTAAAAACCACGGCCGAGCCTATGGGATGGCTCAGTGGGGAAAGGCGTTTGCCATTAAGCCTGATAACCTGAGTTTGTTCCCCAAGACCCACATGGTGGAGGGAGAGATCGGATCCCAACAACTGTCCTCTGACCCCTTCACATCTGCCATATCATGTCCCCTTCCTGCCAGCATAAAGAAATACGTGTCATAGCAATTTTTTACAGAGAGAATCATTGTATGTTTTCTTCAGAGACATAAATTATTGGAACTTTTGCCCACTTTTAACCAGGTGGTTTAATTTTTGGTGGTTGGAGTTGCACAGTTTTCTATATTTTGGAGAGTACTTCCTTATCAAATATATGACCTGAGAATCTGTCTCACGTTTTTATGATTTGTCTTTAAATTTCTTAAAATTAAATTAGTTAATTTAGTTTGTATCTGGGTGGCGGAGTATGCATGCCACAACACACACATACGGAGTTATCAGAGGACAGCTTCTGGAAGTCGGGGCTCTCCTTCCACCATGCGGGTCCTGGCTATAAAACTCAGGCCATCAGCCTTTGCTACAGAGATTCTTTATGCCCAGAGTCATCTTGCCAGCCCTCTAGTGGGCATCTTCTGGTGGTTGGTTGTTGATAGGAGAAGGTGATTTAGCGGAGTCTGGAGCTGGAGCTGGAAGATGCCTGGTGAGTCACTGGTAGGAATCATGTGGAAGACTGAAGAAGACAGAACATGCGGTCCGTGAGTGACGGCACTCATGAAACACACCAAGAAAGGTATCGACTCTGGAAGGGTCAAGCCTCCCTGTGCTGGCTTCCTCCTCCCACCGTGTTCCCCTAGACTATTGGATGATGCCACTCACATTCCAAACATCCCCACACCCCTATTACCCCACACCAACCATCTCTGGAGACAACCTCACAGACTAACCCAGAAGTGTGCTTGCTAACCTAGGAGCCTGTAAATCTGTAAATATGTGCTGGCAACTCAATGAGATTCAGAATCACCCCCAGAAACACACCTCTGGGATTGCAACTCTAGAAAGTATTAACTAAGGAGAGAAAACCAACCCTGAATGCGAGTGGTGTCATCCTGGGTGCTGGGGGAGGCGCAACTGAATTGATGGAAAAGGCGACGGTATTCAGGCCTTCATCTCTCTCCCCTTCTTGATTGCAGACAGGGCATAACCTGCTGCTCTTGCCCCGCCTCACCTACAGTGATGGGCTTTCACTCCCCTAAGTTGTCTTTGACACTGGCAATGAAAGCAGTAACTAACGTGCTATCTCTCCGTCCAAACAAGTCAATAATCAAGACTAGCCATCACACCATCCTAACTATACCCTGGTAACTAAGCCACTGTGCCTCGGCCAATCATGGTAGCTGAACCTTGAGCCAATCACAGGCTAAAGGCTCCCAAAGCATGCTTAAGCAAATACTGAGCTGCTCCCATCAGACTATCTCAACATGTTGTGTCCATCGCGTCCCCTCATCATTTCTGGTCATAAAGGTGACTCCCTCACGGAGCTGGAATGGCTGGGAGTGGGGGGCATTCTGAACAAGATGTAGTCAGGGATTCCCCCAGATCCTTCGGCCTTTATCATGGTCCAGATGAACCTGGCTGACTTTGAAAGGTATCAGGGTTGGATTTTGCTTGCTTGTACTCGTGTTTGCCCAAAGACTTGGAGGCTCCAGGGTCACCCCATGTTTTGACTGACTCTGGAACTCCTCTGGCCTTATGAGTGCAGGGACACCCTCTCCTAACACATCAGCTCACTGTCATCTTTCCACAAGCCTGGGGACATCTCAGGACGTAGGACGAGACACTCCACTAGTCCTGCTTGTCATTTCACACCGGCTCTAAAGCTCCCTGTTAGCAGGATCCATCCCATAAAACTCACTCAATTCTCCTCTCAAATCTGGCCAGCATGCTCTGATATGGCCATCCCTGTCTTCAGTTTGGAGCTTTCCATGTTGATGTTCCAAGTAGACCTAGCCCATTGTCACAAAGGAAAAAGCAAAGGGTCTAAGGCCCCTCCCCCGAGCAACCAGCTCATTTTAACCCTTTTCATCCCTGCCACTCAGCTTTGACTTACAACCTGGCCCAGAGCCCAGAGCCCAGAGCCCAAGCTTAATATAGCTCAGAAAGAAACTGGAGATAGAATATGCACTGGGTCCCAATGCCTGCTTTTTCTAGTGAGTTTCTAAGCCGGCTTCTCCTGGCTGAGACAGGATGGCCTTTTTTTTTTTTTTTCCTTGGCACTTCTTTACCTTATGCCCTTGCTTCTGCCCCACCAACCCTGGATACACTTGCTTTTAGTTCATGTCTCAGTTTCTTGTTAAGCATTACAGGTCATCTGCCCCCATCTGCAGACATACATGAATCGGTGATGGAGATCCCTGGATCCAGCCTCACAGAGATTCAAATGTCTTTGGGGATGTGAATAACACTGAAAGATTGTCATGGGCTGTTTTACTTCACTGCAAATCTGTGTCTGAAGGTGGGAATTTTGCCTGCCCACTTTAGACCCAAGTGTGTTTATTCAAAGTTTCCTCCAAAGTCTCTGTGCTGAGTCAGAATGGTCCCCTGCCTCTGTGACAGAGAGAAAGAGGGAAATGAAACAGCCTGGGAAAAAAGACATTGTGTGCTTGAGAACAGCTAAGAGGTAAACTGTTTTCAATAAAGGTTATTATTGCTTATCTCATGGTATAAAGGTGTCTATAATAAAACCAGCTAACAGGATGCTCAAACATGGAAGGGATAAAAGGGACCATCTGCCCCAAATCTCTCAATAGTAACTCCAGCATCATGGTTTTAATAGAGGTCCCTCAGCTGAATCTTGTTAGATGATGTAAATATAAATTAAGTGATAATTATGATATAAAAACTCTACATGATACGTAAGTTATAAAAGCTGTTTTATGTTTTCCATGAGGTTTACCTGGAAGCGTACAAGGCATAATTATTTTACGGTGTGTACACAGGTAATATTAATTTGCTGCATCACTCTGTGAGTGTGCCATGGGAATTCAACTTTCTCTTATTAAAGTGATGTTGCACAATGCCTAGCTGAACAATAGCAATCTTTAGAACCCCAACTGTGCCTGCTTAAAACAATGACAGACAGACTTATTAAATGTTACTATTCCTTCCAATAAGGAGAAATAGGCTAGGCCCTTGGCCTTTCTCCTGAGTATCCAGGCACTTCTCCCCTGTGGCCCTAATTATATGAGACCTCAGGGTTTTCTGTGCTTGCCATTTATTACGTCAGACTCCTGCATAAGGAGCAAGCACCTGAGAGCTTTGTAAAAGAAGTCCTAAAAGCATCGAACCGGCAATTTAAAAGAGAAATAGAATCCCACTGAGACAGCTTTATAGGATTGTCTAGCACAGTTTTAAAGACACCATTTGGATAGTCAGAATAAGTACCTAAAGCTGTGAGCTGGATGACGGAGCATTTGGCAGCCTCCTTTCATTACGGAATATGCTCCTTACGTGTGATAGAAACACACAGCTAAGTACAGTTACTGCATCCTTCTACGGAGCTCTGGTATGTGGTCCAGCCAGTTGTACAATTACATTTCACCTTACTAAACAAAAGGTAACTTTCTCTCTGAATATTCTCCACAAGGTTGAACAGTTACTACCTTCTGACTCTTTTCCTGGATCTTGGTCATCTTTGAATTTGCATGTGGCCCCTTGGATGGACCCTCCTCAGATAGCTGCCTTTTCTATACTCTTCTCTTTTTTTTTCTCAGCTCAAAGAGAAATCTGCACCTTAAACCCCTAAAGCAGTTAGAGTGAGCTCTGAAGAGGGGGATCCGACTCCCCACTCTTCCCTCTCTTTGCCACTCTGGACATTGTTCCAGGGACCCAGAACTAAAACAACGGACTGGAGTCTCTTCTATATCAGCTGAGGTCACTCTCTCACCAGCTCTCAGAGACCTTAGAGACATTTCATATCAGCTCAACACCCTTCGGAACCAACTTGATTCTTTGGCTACTGCCGTAGTCCACAGTCAAGTCTGGTGACAGCTGTGGGTGGGATCTGTGCCTCCTCCAAGAACCATGCAGCTTCCACACTAACAAACTCCAACTGGTTTGAAATGGGACCCAAAGACACCAGACAAAAATTCAACCACAGGCCTTCTCTATTGTGTGGGCTTTAGATCCTTCCCACTCTGGCTCCTCCCCTGACCATTCCCATCCTTATTATCTGCATGTGCACATTTTACCAGCTCTTTTTAGTCTTTTCCCCCGGAACTTCTTTCACACCCAAACAAAAGGTTCCACAAACCTCACTATCACCACCACCACCACCATTACCACCTCCACCACCTCCACCTCCACCACCTCCACCTCCACCACCTCCACCTCCACCACCTCCACCTCCTCCACCACCACCACCACCTCTAACACCATCACCTCCACCTCCACCCCTGCCACCACACCTTCACCACCACCACCTCCACCACCATCACCACCACCTCCACCACCACCACCTCCAACTCCACCACCACCTCCACCACCTCCACCACCACCACCTCCAACTCCACCACCACCTCCACCACCTCCACCGCCTCCTCCTCCACCACCACCTCCTCCAACTCCACCACCACCTCCACCACCTCCACCACCTCCACCTCCATCACCACCATTGCCACCACCAATGGCTCTCACCTTACAACAGTGATAGGGTTCTCAATGGGTACAACACAGTCAACTAACCAATTAAACTAAGGAAATTAATCTAATTAAAATTAAAGGCACAGCAAAATACAATCACACTACAAAGTAGATTCCCTGCCTGCAGTAGCCCTCCAGAACCACAGAACTAGACTTCATGACTGGGAAGGGGAAGCATTTGTCCCTTCCTGAGGGAAGAATGCTATTTTGTCTAAACTGATCTGGCCAATATGGTAAAACGCTATAGAAACACTTATTACAGAGAATCAGAAGCAGGTGATATTTTCTGGATGGACACCTGGCTGCCCGGGGCCACAGACAGCCCCTCAGCCGACTCTGTTGTTATTTCTGATCACTCTAACTTTATTCTTTAGTCCCGCCCAGCTCATCAGCTTCCTCCAAACAAGACTACAAGCTTTCTCCGTCCAAAGGGTCACTGGATTCTCCCTGGCTCAAATCGACCAGCCCCTATTCCACCTGGAAGAGACTTACTTCAACATGTTCCTTCACGTTTTGAGACTGTCACCTCCTTTATCCAGAAGAAGTTCCCCTCCAAAAAACTACAACCCCCTCCCTTCTTTTTACCCTTACAGAGTTGGGAAATATTAGGTTTTAGCCTCAGGTCATGAGGAATTGAGTCAGGCTGTCCAGGGCAAAAATCCATATCCATAAAAAATGGCGTAGCTCCAACCTGACCATTCACATTCAGTTCCACCTGCTTTGAGGATTCAAAAGATGCCAGACCCAGGCTCGCTCTCTCTCTCTCTCTCTCTCTCTCTCTCTCTCTCTCTCTCTCCCCCTCCCTCCCTCCCCCCCCCCCCCCCCCCCCCCCCCCTCTCCCCCCCCCCCCCCCCCCCCCCCCCTCCTCCCCTCTCCTTGCAGATCAGGATATAGCTCTCAGCCTCCACACTGGCCTGTCACCCTGCTCCCCACCGTGATGATGGCGGACTAGCCTCTGAAACTATGGCAAGCCCCCAATAAATGTTTTCTCTTATAAGAGTTGCCGTGATCATCGACTCTTCACAGTGACTTAGGCAATCGTGAGTGGATGTAGCATTTAGCCCACGCTTTTCCTGCATATATCAGTGTGGCTCTTGCCGTTCATCTATAATTTGATCGGCAATGTTTATGACTGCATCGATAACCTTGGCTGTAGGTGGTTTTTGTTTTGTTTTTTGTTTTTGCTGTATTGGTGTTTCCACCAGTCAGCTGTCTGTGGGCTCTGTCTCTCCACATGGCTAGAGAGGGGTGTACAAGGAGAAGCCCTGCCAGTGCCAGTCTCTAAAGGGTTGGCATCTGAGAGTGGTAGTGGCAGGCCAGCAGAAGCTGCAGCAGTGGCGCCCTCTAGTGGCACAATTCCAAGCATGCGTTAGGAAAGTTCATCTCTAAATCCTAAAGGCTCAAGCATTTCCCACCCTCCTGAATTCCAGTGACCAAATGTACATTGTGCAATGGTTTATTCTCATCATTCTCATCAAATAGAAGCAGCTTTTCGTGATCCACTGACTGACACCAGCCAGACTAGTCACAGTCAAGAACTCGGTGGCTGATTCTCCTGGAAATGCCACCAAGGGCAGTAGCCTCTTGCCCTCACTGAAAATAAGCCTGCCAGTTTCTCCTCACTACATGTACTGAAGCTAAAATTAAGACCCTTAAAACATGGGTCCACGTTTGAAAGCGAAGATGAAGTCTTTTTAGCCTCCAGGAATACACACACATAAAACATCAAGACAAGACTAAGCACAGCCGTTCTTCAGAGAAGGAGCTTGCCTTGTAAGACACAGGTTATATGCTGGTTAGATATAACTGCCAACTTGACACAATCTGGAACCATGCCTGAAGAGACTCTCACTGGGACTGTGTCTACGTTGTGTTGACCTGTGGGCATCTCGGTAGGGGATTTTCTTAATTTAGCTAATGTGGGAACACCCAGTCCACTGTGAGCAACACCATTCCCTATGCAAGTGGAGAAATCAAACTGAGCAAGCAGGGAGCACGTGTGCCTCCGTTTCTCTGCCCTTGACTGTGGGTGTGATGAGAAACCCCTGCCTCAACTTCCCCACAGTGGTGGACCGCGATCTGGAGCTGCCAGCGGAAACAGCTCCTTTATCCCCGAGTTGCTTTCTGTCAGGACAATTCTATCACAGCGTAAGGACTTAAACTCGGACATGTGACTTTCTCAATGCGGCAGATCTCGAACCTGCCGCCATGGTGACCCTTTCTCCTCTGCAGCTCCTGCATTTCCGGTCATTCTAACATTCTTTGTTTCCTCAGAAGGAAACCCAGAGGGTAACAATCTGTGAGTCACTTTACCAGAGACTTACTCTGTAGGAGGAAATCAAAGCCATCGAGGTATGTGAGCTAGTGCCAAGCAAGCAAACAAACAAGAAAAGAACCACTTCTGAGAAATACAGTTCCTTCCCATGTTTGCAATAACAACTTCTCTGTGTGTTCTCAGTTTTCTCTTTATGTAAAAACACGTGAGGTAGAAAACTTGTAAAGAAGAAATGTGGGATCCGGTCCAGGGCTGCACAGCCGAATTCAACAAGCATCCCCTCTTTGGAAGCCGTGATCCAAGAGCACCACTAGATGGCGTGCTGGTCCATCCCAGAAGGTTACCTAGAAGGAGCCTAGTTTATCCCACCCATACATGGTTTAGGATTTGCTACTAGTCTCCTCTCTCTCTCTCTCTCTCTCTCTCTCTCTCTCTCTCTCTCTCTCTCTCTCTCTCTCTCTCTCTCTCTCTGCTTCTGAGTAGATTTCTCCTGTAGCTTTTCAGAACAGTGTCGTTAGTCAGGTAGTCAGTAAGTCATGTGACACTTTCCTCGGGTCCCACTGAGGCTCCTGCGGGCTGACTGCTGAGGGCAACAGAGTGCTGGTTGTATAGAATTTAAAGACAGCTGGGGAAGGTGGACCTGGTTCACAGGCCTGGAATCCGAGCACTTGGAAGATAAAGACTGAAGGACTGGGAGTTCAAGGTTATCCTCAGCTACATGGTAGCGGGTTGGAGGCCAGCTGGGTTACATGAGACAACCTCAAGAAAAAGAAAGAGAAAGAAAGAAAGAAAGAAAGAAAGAAAGAAAGAAAGAAAGAAAGAAAGAAAGAAAGAAAGAAAGAGGAAGAGAGAAGGAGAAAGGGAGGGAGAAATAAGAAAAATGTTGGAATTTGTAGCCAATCAAACAGATGGAAACCACTCTGCAACAACCGGAGCAGAACATTTGTGCCCAGCACAGGCCTTCCTGGTTTCATGGGGTTTGATCTCCACTTTAGTCCTAGTTGGGGGGTGCACATGGCGCTGAGCAAACCGCTGCTGCTGTCTTCCCTGACTGAAACACCCTGGGAGCTGAACTCAGGGTGGCTAAGGCTTTCTTCTTGTGGCCGTGAGATACATGGCGCAACTTCTCAGAGACTGGGTCACGTGCAGTCTGTCTGAGGACTTCTGTCCTCGGTGGTTTCTCTTCTCCCTCACGGTAAAGAAAAGTCGTGCCGTTTCCATGGTGTTCTCAGTTCTGATGGCCGAGGGCTGTGTTTGTGACCTGCCTTGGTGGGGGACATGGCTCAGTGGGTAAAAGAGAAACCTGACGACCTGGGTTCTATTCCTGAAATCCATAGAAAGGTAGGAGAGACCCGTTCCACAAAGTTGTCCTCTGGATGCCCTTCCCCCCATGCCTTGATGCATGCACACACATCATCACAAATGTTAATAACAATTTTAGTAAGTTTACAGCCCTATTCAACCTTTCTCGTTGGTGTATCCAATAATCTTAAGGCCATGGGAACAGCAAAAACCTAAAACAAAAGTATTATCTAAATTATTCAGAACCATGATGTTGTGAATACTGTCCCCAAATACAGCAGAATCTGGTTCTAGCTGTGGAAAATGGTGTTCCGGCCCAGGACCGCCATGGTGACCCACCATGGTCCTATTGGTCTTTCTGCTGGAAGAGCAGAAGCCATAGATGTTCAAAAGAATTCACTTTGGCCAGAAATGATTAGCATACGTAGGTGCTAATATGTGTGGTCCAAACTGGCCTCGCTTCAAAGAAAACTAGAACCTGGATTAACACACATAAACGGTAGCCTAATGGATGCAAGACCCGAATAACCTTGTGACTGAGCCTCGGCCTATCACAGCAGCTGACTCTTAACCAGGCCCAGACAGAAGTCTGCCGAATTATGTTCAAACAGGGTAAGACGTGGATGCATTCAGCTAGCCTGCTACCATTTTTCTATCCACGCATGGAGGGAGTGGCCTTAACCTTCTTCAGGTCATGGTGACGCCTAGTCATGGGAACTCCTTCATGCTCAAACAGACTTTGGTAAGTTTAACCAGTCGTAGGGTGTTTGCCCAGCTGCATGCCTGACTGCATCCAGAGGATTCTGATAAGGCATTGAAGCTGGGCTTGTAGCAGTGCAATTCAGGGTACATGCCCACCTGTAGATGAAGGAGAAAAGCAAAAGGCGCCTGCGCTCAGCTTAGCGTGACTGCCATTCAACCCCTGGAGCAGCTAAGTTTACAGAGTGATGTGGTTTATTTGCTCACAGTTCCAGTGGTTTGCACCCAAGATAGGCAGCCTTATCTGTTTAGCCCCCCGCTGAAGGCTGCACATCACGGTAGGAACACACATGGGAACAGACAGAGCTATCACAAACCCAAGAGACTGGTGTCCCACAATCCCCTTGGTGACCATTCTCCCAGTGATTTAAGGACCTCCTGCTATGCCCCACCGTAGGCAGTGGGACTTAACCATAGGTGCCTTTGGGGGACAGTAAATACACAGACCGAGTACTTTGCTCCTAGTCTCCATAGGTCTGAGTATCTCACAAACCAAAGTGGGTTTATCCCAGCACAAAGTCTTAACTGTTGCAACATTGCTCAAAACCTAAGTCCATAGTCTTATTTGAGACTCACAGCAAACTGAGTTGCTCCCCTGTAAAAGGCCAGAAGAAGTAGTGCACTCCCAGGATGCAGCGGTGGAGCAGTCCCGGGTGGAGCAGTCATACTCTAACGTGATAATAGACAGGAAGTGAGAACCAGTTCAAAGCAAAATGATGTCCAGCAGAGCAAGCCCTGAGCCTCATGGAGTCTGGCCTCTGGGTCACACTAGGTGGGATGTAGCCCAAGGGCTTGGGCCAACCTACCCCTTTGCTGTTTGAAGCCCACGCTGTTCCTCCCTGCCTGCAGCCTACAGCTTTCAGTGGTCGACAGCTGCAGTGTTGGCGCCTAGGAAACCAGGAAACTACCTTCCTAGTTCCCGGGCACTTTGATCATACAGCATCACTGTGGCCTGCCCCACTGAGGTCTCCGCTAAGAACTATGTGTCTTTAGCATACAACCTGCTTCCAAGGTTTCTATCTGGAATCAGGTCCTTGTGTGAGGATGTATCAATAGCCATGCGGAGTGCCACCGTGAAGACTGCCATGACTCCATTTTCAGGCCTCCTTCTTGTGCTGTTCACGCCGTCTAAGGAATGGCCCTGTCTCTCTCTAGTCAGGCTCTGAATGTATACTCGGGCCCTCAACCACTCTGCAACTGGAGAGTCCTTGGAATTACATCTGGAGGCCAAGGCCACAGACTCCCTGTGCAAACCATCTTATCCTTGTCACTAACACTGCAATCTTGGGACAGAAGAGCCCAGCAGGGGCCCAACCTTCCAGAAAGAGCAGAGGTGGGGCACAGCCAGCAGAAGAAACAGGTGGTACGGAGAAGGATGAGCCCCAGGTTGGTCCTGGGCCCAGCCTCGCACGTGGGGAGATTTCAAAGCCATGTGACGTGTCGGAAAGGGAAAGGAGAGAGTTTGAGCTTCACAGAGGCCACCGCTGTTGTACACAGGGAGCCATCCTGGATGGTCACGGCCTCCTCCAGTCGCTCTCTGAAGTAGACTGCAGTGGTCACAAGGCTCCCTCACCTTCCCCATTCCAGGTGAATGGCTCTGGCTGGTTTCGCTCGACTAAGTTCAGGAAAGAACAGGCAGACCCTTAGGTCACACTATCACCCACCCAGGCCCACATGCTGCCCCAGGCACAGAGGGTCCAGGGTATCTCACGCCCCCTAGAACCCTATAAAGCCCCAGGTTAAGAGTACGAGGGTCAGCCAGTGCTCTGCATCCAGCCCGCAAGCCTCCCACTGGCCCCAGACGACTCTGCTCAGTAAGTCCTTCTCCAGCCGCTTCTGTAACTGACACCTGGGCCCTGTCAATCAGTCTCCCCAGCTGGGTTGGCCTGGTCTGCCCAAGGGAAAATAGGCACCAGCTGTAGTTCCTTTGGACAGAGGCAGGGCACAAGAGTGGCCTGAGTGACCTATTTCTGCGCACCCAGCACATTGTAGGGACACAGTTGAGTACTGGGCATGGCTGAGCTGGTAGTCTTCTCACTTCTCCCAGGCCTGGGCTAGCCTGGTCTCCTGCCTCCCTCTGGATACTGGCTTCAGAAGATCCACTTCAGGGAACCCCACTCTTCTTCCCTGCACTTGCTTTGCTTTGGGGGCTCTTATTCCCTGATGCTTTTAGAGCCCAGACCTAGCTGCAGACCTAGAGCATGACTGTGGGGGTCAGTGACCTGCAAAGGCTTTAGAAGAGAAAGGGGTCCCTTTCAACTCTTTCGGATCTAAATTCCAGAGCTCGGTCGGAGGTTCTTGCCCTCTGCTATCTGGGTCCCACCCTGCTGCCCGGCAGCCACCTGCGCTGATCCCCTCTTAGGAAATCCCAGCCCCCAAGGAAGAGATGTTCATTAACTCACCAGATAACCTGTGTGCCCCTCTGCTCCCTCTTCCTCTCTCATTCTTATCTGGGTTCATAACCCCAAATTCCATCTCTGCTCTCTGCCCCCAGCTAGTGTTGAAGACCAGAGTTCACAAAACCCACCTCCTTCCTCCCCGTGAGCTGCCCTGAGGTCATATCTTGGCGACAGTTTGATATCTCCTCTAATTCTTCTTACTTTCACCAACTACCCTCTTTGAAATGAGATTTTTTAAAAAAAAAAAAAAGTTTAAACATTTGTTGTCACAAAATGGCTGTCGTTAGAGTCAAAACCCGAACAAGTTTGTTTTCCTCTCTACGTGTGTCCCGCAAGTGTGTTTCTCCAGCCAGTCTGGATTCTCTTTGACTCACTGCAGGCAGCCAGGATGGACTGGGGAGCTGCTGGGGAGCGGGGTGGTCAGACTGCATGTTAACTGAGCCCTCAGACTCTAGCTGTCCTCTGGGCCCAGCCCTGAGCCCTGACAATGGAGGCTGTGTCACGGCTGTACACAGATCACATGGCAGAAGCTGGAGACTAGTCTGACCCAGCTCAGCTATCCTGGCTGAGTGACCTTGAAGAAGTTGCTGAACCTCTCTGAGCCTTGCTTTTCCTGCCCTGTCAGATGGACAGAACCAGATGCATAGAACCCATAGGTAATGGTCACAAATACCTCCATGTCTCATAGGCTCGTGAGTGACAGGGATCCCTGCTTCAAAATGTCATGGTCTTGGACAAAAAAAAAAAAAAAAAAAAAAAAAATGAATGCGTGCTCAAGTGACCTGCAATGTGAAGGGTGCGGTAGTTGGTAGTTAGGAGAAGAGGGGGTCCCAGAAGACTTAGACTAAGGTGTGGCACCGCTACTCTGTGCTCTGGCTGTATGTTGTACCACAAGACCCTTCCTGTTCTGGTCAGCAGCTTCTCTGCCCATGAAATCGTAAAGACCAATGGAAGCCACCTACCCTTTAATGAAACAATGGAGTCCTTCTCATCCTGGGCTGGTCCCCTTGTTGGGTAACTTTTTCTGATTCCATTTTACTCACTGTGCCTTAGTCCCCACCCCTTGTAGAATTGGGTCATGGCACTTGCATCTTAAAGTGGAGGGTAAGATGGCCACTGCCATGCTTGGTGACCCCTGGAGCCACATGGTAGGAGAGAACAAACTCTCACAAGTTGACCTCTGACCTTCATATGCTTGATATGGTGCTCATACGTGCACTTACACACACACACACACACACACACACACACACACACACGCGTGCGTAAAATTTTAAAAAGAAAACCAAAGTAATGAGTTACCGTTTCTGAGCCCTCACGACTGTGAGGGTTTCCTCTGGTTCTTTCCATGATAAGAATATAGAACATTCCTGACCTCAGTTGGGCGCACAGATTTAGGAAACCAGTTGCTTTTAGATGGTGTTATCAATGTGGGACAGTCAGTGAGAGCCATCAGAGAGAGCCCTGATTTGGGGCTTTTGTCCCCTTCTCTGTCTTGCAGGAGAATGCCACCCTTTTCCTCTTACAACCTCCTCTTGCTAGCAGGTCTGTGCTGTCTGCTCCCTGGCTTCCAGACTAAAGACTACCAAGAGGCAGGTGCCTCGGGCCATGGCAAGATCCAGGAGCCGCCCCAATGCCAGAATTTTGCTTCCACCATCACCAACATGTCCTTGTCCTTGCTCCGAAAGGTAATCCATTGGCCCGGGCAAACCAACGCTATGTTCTCCCCGGTAAGCATCACAGCTGCCTTCGCAATGCTCTCTCTGGGAGCTAAAGGCAGCACGCAGAAGCAAATCCTGAACGGGCTGAGGTTCGGTCTCCCAGATATGCCTAAAATGCAGGTCCACAAGTGCTTCCAGCAGCTCCTGCAGACATTCCGCCAGCCAAACTATCAGTTACTCATGACCACTGGCAACAGCCTGTTCATCGATAAACGTCTGGAGGTGACAGACAAGTTCAGGGAGGTCGTTACAGAGTTGTACAATGGGGAAACCATCCCCGTCAACTTCAGGAACATTAAAGAAGCCAAGGAACAGATCAACAAACACACGTTGAAGAGAAGCTACGGACACATATTGCAGGTGGTCGAAGACCTGCCGATGGACACAGCTCTTGCCCTGGTGAACTTCATCTCCTTGGATGGTAAGGTGGGACTGCCACTGAGGAGGGCAACCACAGAGGCCAGAACCCTAGGGTTCAAGTTCTTGTTCTCAACAATAATAGAATAGACAGGTGAGAAAGTGAAGAGGTAAGAGTTTTATTTCGAAGAGGCAGCATTTGGCAAAGCAGACAAGTTAGGGAGCAGCCCGGTGGGCTCATGAATGATGTTCACCCTGGGATAGTTGGGGGGCTGCTCATTATGGGGTCAGAGACAATGATGAGTGGGGCCTGTGTCGTGGACATTATTTGACTAGCCCCGCCTTTTATGACAATTAGGTCACATCATGAGTTATGCGGCCATACCTAGGGAGCATAGACGTTACTAGCATGCAGCGAGACATGGCAGGGTTTTACATTTATTTACTTACTGCCGTGTGTAAGTGCATGTCTACACATGCCATAGAACACATGTGGAGGCCACATCACACACGACCTGTGAGAGTCAGTTCTCCCTGGAGTCCAGGGATCAAATTCACATCATCGGGCTTAGAGGCCCCTGCTACTCAGCCACCTAACAATCATGATATTCAAAAGAGAAGAGAAACAAAAAGAAAACATCTTACTGTTTAGGGTATGACGATGCCACCTTCATAAGGAAAGCTAAGTCTTCCTTTCTGGTATCAGAAGGATTAATAGTTACCAAGCGCAACTAAGCTGATGCCCCCACTCCCAGCCTGACATTTCATCTGGGAAGGGGACCCCCTACATTCAATAGGGGCTGGGAATAAAGGCCAAATACTTCTCTCTGCCATGATTTCCTGGCCCTAGGTCGAGTCCTGAAGAACAGAGTTCCCAGGTCACATCCAGCACAACTGAGGTCCCAGCTCTGCTGTGACAAAGGTGGACCTTGTCCATACCCCTGCCCTATTACCCACTCCTTTCCAATGAACTCGGTCCTTGAGGCTCTGCCTTCTCTGCTGGTCTCAGTGGTGGCAATCATACAGCAGAGGAGATGCTGTCCTGGCATCTGCATACACGACATTTTCCCTGAATACGGACTGAATGATTGTCTGCGAGGGGCAGGAATCTTCCAGCCCCTCAGGAGGTTCCTGTTTTCATTGAGAATCTCCAGGCAGGGTCCAGAGTTGGATCTCAGTGATGGAGAGGGGGCTGAGTAGATAGGAGGTCAGACGTTCAATTCCTACCACAAACAAGTCCTCGTAAAACTATCAAATATACATAATATCCAAAAGAGAAAAGGGACAGAGGGAGGGAGGAAAATGGCAAGTCTTCCGCTAAGTGGTCTCGTACGTGAATATTCTGTATCTGCTGCAGCTTCAAGTGGTCATCACCAAATCCCTGCAGCAGACTTTCGTGGCCACCCTCATTCCATTTACACTGGATGACGCGAAGAGGAAAGTGTCACACAGGCGGCAGGGGCATCCCTTGCTCTGACGCCTGAAGTTTGATCTCATCCCTTCCTGACAGCCTCTTCTCTCTCCCCAGGAATCCATCATGGTGAACTCCAAGCTGATCTATTGAGTAACAATGAGTTCCGCCTGGATACAGGCCAGGTGGTCTTGGTGCCCATGGTCAAACGCATGGGTAAATTTTACCTGAAGAGGGATAGTAATCTGTCCAGCTGGGTGCTGATACAGCACTATGTAGGAAATGCCATGGCCTTCTTCATCCTGCCAGACCTGGGGAAGATGCAACAACTGATAGACAACCTGAGCTATGAGTACCTCAACAGCATCCAGACGCACATTAACCCCAGGTGATCCCCCAGGTCATGGGCCTATTCAGAATTGCCCCGTTCTCTGAGCCATGACCTCAGGACTGACCACAAGTTAGGATGGGTGGGCCCAATCCCTGGCTTGCCGCTATGAGTCACAACCTCTTGAAAGTGGTGTCAGCCAGGTTGTGTAGACTCACAAAGTTCACTGTGAACTCTACGGTCCTGGTCTTAGATGTTACCTCCCCATTAAGTACACTGTGACTTCCAAATGTGTACTGCTGGGGTTGGTGACAGTCACTGGAGGAGCCGTATGCTATGACAGAACCAAGAACAGGAAGTTGGGCTTGGAGACAGACCCCAGTTGGCCCAGTTTCCAGGACAGACCGTGACAAGGGAGGCCAGTCTGAGAACGTCCATAGAACAACTGTTCTGGAAGCAGCAGAGAACTACCACCAGCACACTCGAGGAGAACAATGCAAGGGAAAGGCCTTAAAGAGGAAGGGGGAGAAATTTCCATAAACTTCTTGGATACACACAGTTTACTGGCCATGGAGCCTGAAGACAGGAATAGACACTGGTATAGGTATCGTTGCTGAGCAAGCTTTCAGATAAGAGTACTTATCTTAATTGCTGCACTTTATGTTTTTATAAAAAGACATATATTTATTGTGTATACAGTGTTTCTGCCCACATGTATGCCTGCAGGTCAGAAAAGGATACCAGATCTCACCACAGATGGTTGTGAGCCACCATGTGGGTTTCTGGGAATTGAACTCGGGACCTCTGAGTCATCTCTCCAGCCCCCAAATTGCTACAGTCAATGAAAATTATACAGGCTGATAGAAAGATTGATGGGTGCCTCAAAGCACCATGTGCCTGTGCCTTGAGCCCTCCTTGAAAGGGCATGGGCCTCAGAGAATGGGTCCATCTAGGTACGTGACTTTCACAGTGGGCACAGGCAGAGCTGGACTACAGAGACCTAGAGAGAGCAAGGTGGAAGCTGGGCACCTGGGGTCCATTTGCAGGAGGTTCTGTCCTTTGACGCTCTTCATTGTGGTTCACTGGGCCCGTAAGAACCAACAGGTCAAGTGTGCTCTCCATCAGTGAGCCTAGGTCCTGCTGACTGGGGTGTGGGCTTGAGGTGAGTGTGGGCAGAGGCGCTGCTCTGAGGAAGAGAGCCCTGAGGGCCTGTATGCCCAGCAGAGAGCCCAGGAGCTGAAGGGGCTGAGATAAGAACTGGCCACAGAGCTGAAAGCCAATCTGTTCCCAGGCCTCGCCTCACCCACTTCTCAGGGTCACTCTGTTCTTCTACTCTGAGGAGATGTCACTCAGCTGCATCAGCCCCACCAACTCTCAAAAGTATCCATCCCTAAACATGGAGGGATGAGGTGAGACATGGTTCCATGAGAGCACCCTGAGTCTGTCAGGAGAACTTCTCATAGGCGGTGCCACCTCTGGGGTTACTAGGACAAGATGGTCCCCTTAATGTCAACACCAGACCTCCACGCCAAATACAGAGGAAGTTACAAGGACAGGCCACCAAGGGGCCTTGCCATCCTGCTGTGGACAGAAACAAGGCAATAAAGAGGGAAAGAAGGCATGTTCACAATATAGTGGGGCCCAGAAGAACAGGGAAGGCCATGAAACCCCTCTGTTTTTCTTCCACTATGACAGGTATGCCAACTTAGGTTTCCCCAAATTTACCATTTCTGCAACTTACGACCTGAAGACAGTCATGAGGACGCTGGGCATCACCCAGATCTTCAGCAGCAGGGCTGATCTGTCAAAAGTCACAAAGGATGCTCCTGTGAAGTTGTCCAAGGTGAGGCCACCTAACCAATGTGTAGTTCTGGATGTCTGATGATCAGAAGGGATGTAAAGGGCACAGCTCAGGCATAAGGCTGAGGTTGGAGAAAGACACATGAGCACGGTCCAGGATGTACTCTGAGGACTCTTAGGAGGTGCCTGGGAGGATGGAATTAAAGGCAGAACTGGGAAGTGGCTTTTCATGTAGGTGGTGGTATGGCTTTTCCCTGAGGTGTTTCTCTGATAATCTTTGCTCAAGACCTAATACTGTTTGAACCTTGGTTTTCTCATATTTATGCAGAGAAGCCTAGGCTCAGTTAATTCAGAGAATGTTCTATACTCTATAAATGTGAGTCACAAGGTCCAATTTATGAGAGTTAACCAATGAGGCCAACAGGTCTGGGAAAATCAGTAGACCCAAACCAGAGTGGTTGACCATGAGTTGTATACTTTGGGAGTTTTGACACTCTGAAGGTCACATTTATAGCCCTTGTCTCAAGAACCTCAAAACTGTGCTCTAGAAAGGGGACACTTGTAACAGAGAGTTCACAGAGGTCCTCCCCGACAAGGCCTCAGGCTCAGGCTACACCAAGGGTATGAGAAATGGGGATCATAAAGGGGGCAAATAGAAAAAAAGGCCAAGTCAGGAAAGGTTCTGAGTGATTGTGAGGAGAGAGCCATGGATGAGGTAAGACTGCCCATAAGGAGATAGGCCCCGGGGAGGCTCTCCTTGATTGGGGCTCCCACATAGTCTTGCTTCAGCCTAGAGTGGGGGTTTCATAGCTTCTGAGCCACTTCTGCCTCTCTCTCTCTCTCTCTCTCTCTCTCTCTCTCTCTCTCTCTCTAGGCTATGCATAAGGCTGTGCTGGGAATTGAAGATAAAGACGCAGAAGTCCCCGAGTTTGCTGATATGGTAGATGTTTTGTTGCCTAATGTCCCCAGTATCATGTTCAACAGGTCCTTCCTCATCATTGTCAAAGATGAAACCTTCAATCTTCCTTTTTTCGTGGGCAAAGTAGGGGATCCCAGACCGCAATAATTATACCCGAGCATCAGTTCCTGCTTTTCCCACCAGGTTCTCTCCCTAGATGACTTCAAGCATAAGTATCAGATGTTTTCTGGAGGGAGACTATTTCTATTCTCTCAAAATACAGATGGCAATGCCAAACCAAAGTAAAAATAATAATAATAAATATTTTTTACAAAGATGTTTTTCTAAGTTTGGTGAACAAATGACCAAATGACCTCACTGGGGGTCTTTACAAGAGTGTGGGTGCGTGGTTATTTACGGAACGTAGATGACTTTTGGGGGATTACATTTTTGAACAGCTGAACACAGCAATATGGCTGAGACATCAGGAAAGCAGTGTGACTGCTAAAGTTCTTTACACAGCTTCCAGACAGCTACATCAGTGAGGTGGTACCCATCCTGGCAGCTACGTCAGTGAGGTGGTACCCATCCTGGCAGCTACGTCAGTGAGGTGGTACCCATCCTGGCAGCTACGTCAGTGAGGTGGTACCCATCCTAGCAGTCATTTACTGCCTAAGTCACCTCGGGAAGGGGACTGAGCAATCTTGAACCTCTGTGGTTCTTCTCCCTTCATAAGAAAGTGTTTCCATCTGGAGGAAGCAGCTACACAACACTCCAGCCTTTCTTTGGCCTCCTCTTCTGCTATGTCCCCCGAGCCTTTGGAGGTACGGTCATTTTCTTGCATTTCTAGTTGAGCTTTGGGCCTCTGTGCTGCAGCAACAGGAACCTACTGTTAGCAATTAGACTGGTTGGAAATCTGTGTAATGATCACCATCCACTGCAAAAAGAAGCTTCTTTGACCTAGGCAACTGCTGTGGAACAATCTTTTTGTACACTATGAATGTGTATTACTCCCATTGGCTAATAAAGAGCTAACTGAACTATAGCTGGTCATGTGGAGGTTAGGCAGGAAAATCATATAACATGAGGGCCTGCTTGTGGGGGTTTCTGTCCTGCCCAGTTCCCACAGCCGGCAAGTTCCAAAGAAAATTGCACAGAGGTCTCCATAAGTTATAAACTGATTGGCCCATTAGCTCAGGCTTTGTATTTGCTCTTATAACTTATATTAACCCATTATTCTTATCTATGTTAGCCACATGCCTTGGTACCTTTTTCAGTGGGGCAGGTCACATCTTGCTTCTTCAGTGGTCTGGGCAGGACTGAGGAGGAATGGCCTTCTTCCTTCCCAGAATTCTCCTGTTCTCATTGCCCCACCTCCACATCCTGTCTGGTTTGTCCCACCTATACTTCCTGTCTGGCTACTGGCCAATCAGCATTTATTTAAAACATAATTGACAGAATGAAGAATTGTTCCCCCCACCAAAATCAGACTAAGAGGATGCTGGGAGGGGAGAATGGTGGGGGTATGGGGGTCAGAGGAGTCACCAGCAGACAGAGGGCGAAGCAAAATGGGCATGCCATGCTGAGAGAAGATACCAAGCCATGTGGCAAAGCATAGATAAGAAATATAGGTTAATTTAAATGGAAGAGTGAGCTAGTAATAAGCCTGAACTATTAGACAAGCTTTTATAAGGAATATTAAGTCTCCATGTTGGCTATTTGGATCTGCTGCTGGCACAGGAAAACTCTGCCTACAAGCTACAGTAATCTGTGGGAATAAAAACATGTTTAGAAGGCAAACTGATAGACATGTCACATATGTTTAACAACAAAAATGACATCAACCTCCCACTGGGTCCTCTACCTTCTCAGCCATGGGTTTTTGTTCAGGTTTACAGTGAAAAGTAAGGGTTCCAGCTTGTGGAGCATATTTTAAATCCAGTCAGCAAACAGTTGTCTCCACTCATGAACCATATTATTATTCTGCCATAGCTTAGTTACTGTTCTGCTGCTGTAAAGAGACACCATGAGCAAGGTAACTTATCAAAGAAAGCATTTAATTGTGGGCTTGCTTACAGTTTCAGAGGGTTAGTCTATGATCACCATGGTGGAGAACATGGCAGCCAGCAGGCAGGCATGATGCTGGAGCAGGAGCTAAGAGCTTATGCCCATCCACAAGCAGGGGGCAGACTGAGATTGGGCCTGGCATAGGCTTTTGAGAACTTAAAGCCCACCATCAGTGACACATCTCCAACAACGCCAAGCCTCCTAATCCTTCCTCAATGGTCCACCAACTGGGAACCAAACATTCAACTGTGTAAGCCTGTGGGGGCCATTCTCATTCAAATTCCTATACACCAACAGGCACATTTTTCCTGGTTAGTTCATAGCAACTGTTCTTCAACCAATAACATGCAGGGAGCTTTCTGGTCTTCCAAAGACACGCAAGTACTGACCAAGTTTGCAGTCCAGTTCTAAACCAGTATCTCCAGTGTCTCCAGCAGGAAGGACTCTGGCAGACAGCAAGCAGCAGTGGCCAGAACTGTACTGTGTGAGACATGGACAATAGCTCATAAATAACGTATAGGGAGCTTGTCTCCCTCTGGCAAAGGCATTTTCAACCAGAAACCTTATGGCCCTTGGAAGTACCTTCTTTTACCCACGCTGGGTTTCATTTAGACTCTTATCACTGATGTTTTTACTGTTCCGTGGGAATTTGTAGCAGTGGAAGAAATAAGATTGTAAGAGTAAAGAATATAGGGAAATGGAGGAAGGGAGGAGAAGATGTAAAATAATTGGAACAAAAGTGAATTGAAACCAAGATTTGTAATTGGAATTAGAATTGATACAGAATTAAAATAAAAAGATTATAGAGAATTAGGGGAAAAATTAGATTTAAAACAAAACAATAAAGCGACATTGCCTGGAACTGCAAACATGTGAGTCTTTCTCCTCAGATTAGAGCTATCCTGAGATTCTTTTGGCTATGCTGAGGCAACTGACCCGAACCCTCGGAGGAAGTCAACAGCAGGCCTCTGGGCTTTTGATATGACTCAATCCATAGGTTAAACCATAGATTAAGTCAGAGCCTTCATGATCTGACCATCTCTAGAAAACACTCGAGACACGCCAAGAGCTACGCTGCACTGATTCCCAAGGCTTTTTGAAGCCTTATTAAACTTCTCATCAAAATCAACCACACACGACCTATTTCAGCAATGCCATCTCCCCCTTACCCCAAAAGAAATGAAGGGGCCCTGAAAGATAGTTTACACTTATGTCCGGGACAGCATGATACACGCATATGTCCCTATGCTGCATGCCCATCGACGGATAGGTGGACAAGCAAAAGGCAGGTGACCACACGACAGGATATTATCCCTTCATTTTCAAAAGGCAGAGAATCCATGTTGTCCCTGGGTCACCAGATGACAGCCTCTGTAAATTCAAAACCCTTGTAGACCTGCCAGGTTAGAGAAGCAGGAAGCACTTTTTTACCATGGTGTGTGTGTGTGTGTGTGTGTTTGTGTGTGTGTGTGTGTGTGTGTTTGTGTGTATGTGTGTGTGCATGTGCGCATGCGCTTTACATCTGGGTCTATGGCCCTGAATGTGTTTTTAATGTGTGCATCTGGCAGGGTCATTACATGGGTTACAGAGAACAGTTGTACACGTGAGGATAAAGGGATTTTCTTCTCCCTGTCCTCAAGACAGGGAGACCATCAGTTGTCTCTCACTTACACCAAAGACCCTCTTCTGAGGCATTGGGCCATTATTCCCACTCTGTCTGTCTAACTGGGTTTGCGTGAAATATGGCACAGGTCCTAATACCCAGGTGAGGTTTCTCAGGCCGCGAGTGGGAACACACTCACTTTCTTCAGGTGAGTAATATCTACTGAAGACATAAAGGCTAGGAGTATGTAAGGACCCACGGCCTCCTCTTAGCAACATCCTGAGGTAGGCTGCAATGGCCACTGGGCTACCTCTGTCTCCCTCCTCCATGGGTGGTACTGGCCAGTTCTGCTTCACTAAGTCACTTCAGGGAAAGAGAGCCAGGCCCTCAGGCCACAGCAACACACGGCACACTGTCTCCTAGTCAAGATCACAAGCTGACCCAGGCTCTCCTCCCACGTAGGGACTGAGTGTCTCCCACACTCTGCTGTGCGTATAAGTCCCCAGGGCAAGATCTTCAGGGGCATTCAGTCCTGCACGTCCAACCCACGAGCTTCTCACTGCCTCTGCTAAGTAAGTCTGTAACCAGCCTCCTTCTTAACCCATGGGGTGGGCACAGCCAACCTTTCTCCTGTCTCCATATCTCCTCCACACAGAGGACGCTACTCCTATGGGCAGATCCAAAGGAGAGCAAAGACCTCATTCTGTGCTCCCAGCCCACAGTATACCCTCTGTTGAACACTAGGTCAGGCTTGCCCTTCCTTGAGGAAGCCCTCTAGGCCTGGGCCAGCTCTGGATCACTTACCTTCTGTGATCTCTCTGCCTGATTGGAGGTGGCTGAGGAGACACCTCAGGTGGTCCTATCACCCCATTCCCGCACCCGATACTCTCTCAGCTTGGGCCTTCTACCATGCCCAGTCCCATGACCCTACCAGAAGCCACAGGTCTTGACCTCTCTCTGTGGATTCAGGGACTGACGCCACACACACTCTCCTGGGATAGAAAATGGACTTTTTTGTTTGTTTAATTGCTACCCTTTTAAAGTATGTTTTCCAAGACTCCCTGTGACAAGGATCCTAGGCCTCTTTTCTCCTGCCCAGGAGCCATCTGCCCTTGATCACCTGGGAAGAACTCCTGATCACCGGGGAGAAATAGGTTCGTTAGCTCCTCAGATGAGCTGCTGCCTTTCCAATCCCTCCCCCCTTTTCTTATTTGGGGTCACGCTCCCGAGTCCAACCCGATGGCTCGGGGCTGTTCTAAAAGGCTGGAGTTTGCCAAACCTACAAACTTCTCACAAGATCAAATCCAAGTATAAGTCCCCATATCTGTACTTACGTCACTAATGCCTTGCATATTTCTGTTTTTAAGCTGAGGCTCAGAAATTGATCTTTATTACAGGCCACACGGTCTCTAGTGGCACGGCTCTTGGTTAAACGGGGCAGTTTCTCTCGCACTGAATCATTGCAGACGGGAGTGGAGTAGGCTCTGGACAGCCTGCTGTGGGACCTGGTTCTGCCGCGGTCACTGAATATATGCTTTAACCATCAAGGAATGGAGGAGAGCTCAGCTCCCCTGTGAGACTTCTCAGAGAAGTACAGACCAGATAGACCTGACCGGCCCCAAGGCTTGTCATTAGCTCTTTCCATGATGAGGCTGTGGAAAGTGCCTCGCCCAGACCAGGAGCACAGCGCAGGGGTAGGGAACTGATGTGGGAATAGTTTCTTATTAATAAAGAAACTGCCTTGGCCCATTTTATTGGATAGAAAATTAGGTAGGCGGAGTATACAGAAGAGAATTCTGGGAGAAAGAAGGTTAGAGGAAGAGTCGCCATGATGCTCCCACTCCAGACAGATGCAGGTTAAGATCCTCTCTGGTAAGCCAGCTCATGGGCTACACAGAATATTAGAAATGGGTTAGAACAATATGTAAGAGCTAGCCAATAAGAAACTGGACCTAGCCGGGCCAGGCAGTGTTTGAAAGAATACAGTTTCCGTGTAATTATTTCGGGCATAACCTAGCCATGCGGGCGGCGGGGTGCTGGGGACGCAGCCCCGCCGTCCCTATTTCAACAGGGAACTGTGGTTGTCATGTCAGTCATTGGTTAGTGGGAGCTGTCATGGCCCCGACTCAGGGCTGTGTCCCTTTCTGTCTTGCAGGATGATGGCATCCGTTTTCTCTCATGGACTCCTCTTGCTAGCTGGCCTATGCGCTCTGCTTCCCAGAACCCAGACTACAGATGATGAAGATCCCTATGACCCAAGCATTGGTAGCTGGCAGTGCCGGAAGGTAGCTTTAACCATCTGCAATGTCTCCATCTCTTTGTTCAAAGAGCTGACCCAGCAGTCAAGAGACGGGAATATCTTCTTCTCCCCTATTAGTGTGGTTGCTTCCATCTTAACGCTCTCCCTGGGAGCGGAAGGTAATGACAGCCAACGCATCCTGGAGGCCCTAAAGCTCAACAAAACAGGCTTGTCAGAAGCTGAGATCCACAAGTGTTTCCAGTACTTTCTCCGTGCCACCAACCAGCCCGCAGAGATGTCCCCCATGATAAGTGGTAGCAGCGTGTTCATCCACCAGGGCCTGAAGCTGGTGGATAAATCTCTGAAGGGAATCAAGGACCTATACGCCTCTGAAGTCATCTCTACCAACTTCAGAGAGAGCAGTAAGGCCAAGGCACAGATCAACAATCATATGATGAAGAAAACCAAGAAGGAAATCGGGACCATGGTCAAGGAGCTAAAGAATGACACATTCCTCGCTCTGATGAACTACATTATCTGGAATGGTAAGGGTGACGTCACTGAGCCGAGCTGGCTCCAGGGGACTAATCCAAATAGATGCTCATATTCCGATGTTCTGCGTCCTTGGCACCCCAAAGTCGAGAAGGGCAACATGCCTACATATGTCTTCTTTTAGTCTTTCACCGATAAACAGCATAACAATTTTCAACAGCCCATGAGATCAGAGGATGAAGGATTAAAGCAGCCCCTTATCTGGGCTTGACAGGTCATTCTCTATACAAATGTTCTTTTGAAATCTGTGTGAGTGAAACAGAAATATACTTAGTGCTTTTGAAAACAAATTATTGCACGGTATATGTACACAGGGCAGTTCCCGTGGAATATACTGAGAAACATTAAGTGTGGTAGAGTCAACTTCAGGGCCTGAAAACATTGGCGTCCAGTGTGGCCTCCAACATCCATTACCTGTCTCCACTGAACGAGTCATTTTATCTGTTTGGGGTGTGAGTGTCCATTTTACCATGGACAAAGCTAGCCCAGTGCCATGAGACCGTGCAAGGATTAGCAAGGTTACACAGTGTGTGGAACTCTGTGGAGAACATGTACCTGGTCAGCTAGCCTCGACCCCAAACATGATCTCCTGCCTGGAAATGGCTAGGTCAGGGCCCTAAAGTGAGCATTTCTGCCCCAGGAAAGATACAGCTTGGGGAAGGGCTAGGAGTCGAGGCTAGGGCCTGCTTTTTTTCCCCCTGAGCTCCCTCTCCCCTGGCAAAGTCCTGCAGAGTGCAGCGCCGAGGCCATGGCTTCATTCCCTTCCCAGGGCCTCCAGCCCCTCCTTTCCAGTGACAATGTGAGGCCAGGAGCTCTGAGGGTCCTCCTCATTCACAACGGGGAGGACGGGTCCCTGAGGCCCCTACCTATTCTGATGGCCATGTTGGTTGTGTTTTTATATGGCACCAGGGGAGCTCCCCAGATATTTGCACCGCATCTAGGGGCTCAGGAGAGGACTCAAGTTACCCATCAAGGTTTGCCTTGAACTATATTAAACGGTTACCTGAAAAGGACAAGAAGCCGCTTGTAAAGCAGGTGCACAGGTGTCCTTAGGGACCACTGATGACCTGCAATTGTCATCATTTAGCATTCCCAGAGAACCATTAAATAAGCATAATATTAAATTTCTTTCTAAGACACTTTACCTTTAGGATCTATATCCAAATTCTACATCCCTCCCCAAGTTCAAGGGACCCCCACACAGCGGTCCTGCCTTGGCATGTCCATCCTTTTTCTATTTTTAGCTGATAAAAGCAGGGCTCTGAGAAAAGCCCTTTTCTTCTGATACACTCTCCCAGACCTAGACCCCCTCTATCTGACACTCCCTCTTCTTCCTCTCCAGGCAAAATTATCCGCTACTATTCATGTCACTTCCTCAGAATGGAGGATTTCCACGTGGACCATCAGAAGACGATCAAGGTTCCGATGATCAATAACGTGGGCTTGTTTCATCTGTTTCGAGTCCGTGATCTGTCTAGCATGGTGCTGGTGTACACCAGCCCCCAAGTCATCCCCTTCACCTTCTTTATCCTCCCTGACCATGGGAAGATGCACGAGGTAGAGCAGAGACTGACCTACCCAGACTTCCGCCGGATGTTTCAACAATTTAGCCTAAGGTAATTCCTCAGTCCCAGGAACTCCCCAGAGCCACCCCTACCTCTGATCATTCCATAACTAAGGCCCTAGAAGGCTGGCCAGAAGCTGGGGCCACAGCCACTTTGAGCGTCCAGGCAAACTCGGCATTCATTTCCATACTGTAGGCCATGCTTGTTGATGGAAGCAGTGCTGGAAAGAAAGAGGTAAACATGTTGTTCTCAGGGCAGTCCTACCTCGGGATGGACACATTGCATCCTCAATACGGCAGAGGCCACAGCTGTGGTGTATATTAGAGATTATCCAAGGATATGGAGGCGGTTCATAGGCCCTAGTCACCTTAGGGGTCAGAGGTCAAGGTGGACAGTCCGTGGGGTGTTTGGAAGTTAGGGGAAGAATCTGTAGGGAAACCTTCAGAAAGAAAAGAGTGCCCAGGTCACGACTGAGAAAGACTCTATTCCTCTGTTGCTCTTGTGTGAGGCTGGTCAGATCCCCAGAGCCATGCACCACAGAGTCCATGAACACTTTCTGAGGCCCAGAACCTACAACAAGGAACAGAAAACCCAGCTGGGGCTGAGCATGGAACTGTTGAGAGCCCAAGACCCAAACTGAGCCCTGAAGCTTCAGCACAGCGGGGAGAGGAGTGGTTTCATCCTGCCCTCCGCCGGGCCTTGCGCTCAGCTGCTCTGACTCCCTCTGTCCCGAGAGTCTTGTCTTGGGGGGCAACCGTAGCTAAGTGAGAGGGGTGGGTGCCCAAACATTGTAGGGCATAGTGAGACAGGGTTACGTGTGAACACCCTGTGTCTTCCCAAAGGACTTCTCAGAGGAGGTGGCATTTTAGGGGTTCCCGGGATGAAGTATTCCTTCCACGCTAACAAAAAGCTTCCTCTCTTGCCCACTAGGACGGTCAAGGTACAGATCCCCAGACTGTTGGTGCCTGAGACCCATGGCGTGGAGTCAGTGGTGAACCTACTAGGAATCTCTCCTCTTTTCAAGAAGGCAGCCATCAGCTCAGTGGCCGTGGAGGACACAGTTCAGAAGTCCTTCAAGGTGAGGTCACCTCACAGCTCTGTGCCAGTGTCTGCTTCAGTCAAACAGGGCAGAGGTGCAGCTCCGGTGTGAGGTTAAGGAGGAGGGAAAGGGTGTGGAGAAAGGCAAGGCTGAGGTCCTTCGGATGACCTTTGGGGTTTATCTGGAGTTGGAGGTCAGAGGTCAAAGGTGCAACAGGGGGATTTTTGTGCTGCTGATAATGTAAGTACCTCCCAGAATGACCTCCCTGAACCTCAATCTCACCTTTGCTCAGGACCGTTCAGTCCTTAGGATTCAAACTACCCATTTTCATACAGAGAGGCCTAGGCTTAGTGACTTGGGACATTATCCTGGAATTTTCCACCTATGGCATTGAGGGTGACTAGTAAACCACAAAGTCAGGAGTGTTAATGAGTTTTCCAAAGATCCCATTGGTGGGGGGAAATTTAAGGCAGTTCAGCAGGGGCTCAATACCCTTGGAGTTTGGACACTCAAGGTCATCTTCAGATACCCAGTCCCCAGAAGGGCTCACATCTGCACCCTGGGAAAGGGGGACCCCTAGGCAAAGGACAGGAAATACAAAAGGACCTCCCACTGTGAAGCTATGCGCAGTAGCTGTAGCCGAGGTCATGAATGATGGAGGCAGGAAGGGGACCTGGAAGTGAATGGGCCAAAACAGGCAAAGAATGGAGCGATTGGGGAAAGGCTTTTGGGTGACCACCATGGAGCAGGCTGAAGGCAGGGCAGCGCCATAAAGGGTGGGCACAAGCCGTTGGAGGGTCTTCCTTCATGAGTTCCATGTGAGATCTTACTCTAGGCCGCAGTGGTTGCTGCCCCCTGTCTCACACATCTCTGCTTCCCTTCCCACAGGTGGTGAGCAAAGCTATGCTGACCCTCGACGGAAAGGACATAAGCACCTCTCCGAGTTCGTGTCTTAAAAAAGACGAGTGGGCTGCTGTTCCTCTCTTTCAGCTAAATAGACCCTTCCTAATCTTCGCCCAGGAACGAACAAACAGTATCCCCCTCTTTTTAGGCAGGGTGGCAATTCCCAGAAGGTGACAGCTCTTGGGTATCAGCCTCTCTCCTGAGAACCGTGTCCCCTCCCTGATGACATTAAACATGGGATGGTTTCACTCATAAGTGAGTATCCAGGAAATCCCTGGGTGGTGTCCGTGTCTTCCTCTGTTCCGGGAGGTGTGTGGGGACTCCCTGTAACAGCACATCTCAGTGCGTCCATGCTTAGGAGATCTCCATACTGTGACATCTCCAGCAGTGAAGGGAGAAGGCCATGTCCCTTTGGGTTGTACTGCATCGTCTCACTGGGCCTATCCTCTCTACCTCACCGGGGATTTCCTGAGAAGGGCTAGAGGAGATGGGCTGGAGCAGGGCCCCAGTCCCTGTCATTCCTTCCCTGCCAGAGGAGTCTCACAGTCCCCTCAATTAGCAGAAAGATCTTTGGATCTTGGCCTCTGTCTTCTTCTCAAGCCAATGAGACCCATGAGCCCAAAGCCACTTCCTTTGTTCCCCCCATCCGTGCTGACCTTGAAGCCACGCTGTATAGATGGGTCTAAAAGGTCATAACAAGGACATGTCATACAGGAGAACGACACCCATCCTTTCCCGTGGTTCCCCCGAGATCTTCCTGAAGTCGTATGCACCTGCCTCGACCCCCATCTCCAGACTCTCGGTGTAGTGTTTCAAGGGCACATGTAAGTCTCATAGTAGATCTTAGGGTTCCCCCTGTCATCAGGGTCTGGAAGTCCATCACTGTTCACCTCAGCCCTCAGCTGCACTAACTTCCTGCAGCATCCAGAACCCACCTCTCAGAGACTGCACCTACTGCCCAGAACCTCTGTGCCGAGGGAGTGCTGCCCCTTCCAAGCTCACCTAGTGATCCTTCCCCGCACTCCATCCCTGAATAAATGTGGGTCATAATATTGTTGTAATTTAGACCAAACTGCCCTCAGGGAGACAGGAAGTATATGAAAGTCTGGCCAAAGCCCCAAGGGACTGGTGATGGTGGGAGGGGACTTAAGGAAGTGAGGCCATTACTACACTTTCGATGACTGTGGTAGATACTAGAGAAGCAAGATGTTACCATGTTACCAAGCTTATGCCACATGCTACCCTGACAAGCAAGGTTCCTACTGGTGACCTCAGCTGGAGTTGGAGGGAGCTGTCGCACCCAGTGGTGACAGAGCTGCTCTCCTGGACACAAGGAGAAGTTGGTTTTATTGGGCTTTTGTGCCGGGCTAAAGTTTGGCGCTTGTCAGCTAATCCTCAGCCTTGTTGAAAAACACCTCACGCTGGAGTACTCTAACCTTGAACTTGGAACACACTGTTTCCTTGAGCCTTGGAGCTGTCACTTGGAGCCAGGAATAAAGCACTGTCCTCGACATGAGTGTAGGACAGAGTCACCAGGTGACAGCATGCACTGTTTGAACAGCTTTCCATTCCAGGCCAGAACTAGGACTCTGAGGAGACAGCCAGGTGTACTTCCTGTTGTGCTTATATGACCTCCAACGAGGAGGAGGGGGTCCCACATCAATGTGTGTGCACATTTGCTTCTATAGACATGTCTATATGTGCTGTTTCTCTTCCCCTCCTTCTCTCTCTCTATCTCTCCTTCTCTCTCTTCTCTCACTCTCCTCTTTCTCTCCTTCTCTCTTTCCTTCTTTCTTTGTCTCTTCTCTCTCTCCTCTCTCCTTCTCTCTGTCTCTTCTTCTCTCTCTCCTTCTCTCTCCTTTCTCCTCTTTCCTCCTCTTTCTCCTTCTCTCTCTCCTTCTTTCTCTGTCTCTTCCTCTCTCTCTCCTCTCTCTCTCTCTCTCTTCCTCTCTCGCTCCTCCTCTCTCTGTGTTGCTGTCCTTGTTAGTCTTTGTGCATATCTAGATCTCTCCAGAGTGTGCACACCTGTCTGGGAGGGGTATAACATGGAGCAGGCATACACGTACAGATGAAGGGTCTTTCTTCTCCCTATCCTCAAGGCAAAGCTCCCCTCGCTGGGACAGATGGACATCATCAGGTTTTCTCGCCATACCAAAAACCCATTCTGTGGTATTAGGTAGGCTCTTGACCTATCTCTCTGTTCTCAAACAAAACTGCACAGTAGAAAGGCAGGTGAGATTTCCCAGAGCGAGAGTTGAAGCTCACACACTCACTGGAGACACCATGGTTCAGGCACAGCCATAGGCCCCTGGTGCTCATGAACATGTTCCCTACTCTTGGCTACTCCTTGAGGTGGGCTGAGGTAGCCACAGAAGTCCCTCCCTTCCCTGATTCCAGAAGGGACTAAACGGAAGTGCCTGCTTCTGCAGGACTAAACATGGAGAAGAGGCAGGCCATGGGTCACAGCAGCACATGGCCAGACTCACGAGCTGCCCTAGGTTCTCCTCCAGCAACACCGCCCCGGGCACATAGGGACTGAATGCTCCTTTTCCTACTCAACCCACGAGTTCCCAGAGCAGCAGCATGAGGGACAGTTGGTGCTGCACGCAGCTCCTGCTGGCCTTGTTAATCCTGATCAGTAATCTTTCATCAGCTTCCTCCTGAGCCCACAGGGTGGGAGTGGCCAGCCTCCCACCTAGCTCAGCACACTTTGCATACAAGGGACTCTGAAGCACCCAGAGTTGTGATGGAGCCAGAGAAGGAAAATAGCCTTCCTCTGAGCTCTCAACACACAGTGGGCCTACAGGCAAATGCTGACCTGGTGGCCTGTTTCAACTTAAATCACCCTCCCAAACCCAGGCTGATCCTGGGCCTTCTGCTCCCTGGTCTCTGCTGGCCAAGGGTCTGGAGAAACTCAGAGCACCGATTTCTAAGCCAATACCTTTGAAATCTAAGTCCAGACACGTACCCATGCCTTAACTGGGATTGAACAACCCGTAACCCAAGCATCAGTTCTGGCTGATCAAAACATATTTCCCAGAGTTCCTTGCAACAGTCCCAGATCCTCACTCCTCTGCTTTCTGAACCCAACCTCCTGCCCCAGAAATTCTTTGACCTCCTGCTGGGAGCTCCAGAAAAGGGCGGGAGGTGTGTTTATTAACTCTTCAGATAACCTAGCTGCCCCTCTGCCCACATCCTCCCTCCTTCTTATCTGGGTCCATGACCCCATCCTTCACCTTTGGTGCCTCTCTGCTTCCCTGGCCTGTGTCCGCTGCCATGTACCTCACCTCTCATCAGAGCAAAGTTTCCGGTATAACAGATATGAAGGCCAGCCATGGCAGAAGGAAACCCTGGAAAAGGAATCTTAGAGATGCATCAGGGTGAGACAGTCAGAGGACACTGGCAAGGCCAGGCTCAGATCAGGGACCCAAACAAGAAGGCTGACAGCGCAGCAGATCTAAGAGGAGCCACAGTGGGGTCAGACATTGAGTACTAACCTTCGAGGCAGACATGGAAATGTAGGAAATAAAAAGTATAGGGAGATAAGTAGATACAGCCTTTCTGAATAAGACTACCCCCAGAAATCATCAAGAAGAGTTTCTGTGTTCAACTTTACAACATGCAAACAGTGTACGGGAGTTAGTGCCATTGACCTCACCATGAGAGCATAGCCATCGTGCGTTCATGTGTGCCCGACACCACAGCTCCTAACCAAGGCTGAACAGAGTGAACAGGCTGAAGGCAATTCCATCTGTCCTTACAGTAGGACAACAATCAATAAGCCACCAATAATCAGTCAGATGATCAATAAGGGAGCTGAGACCCAGAAGTCACCTATAACGTTCCCCCAACAGCGTCACAGACGCTGTTCTTCAAGGCAGGCCAGGTGGGGTTGAGGGAGGGTAGCCGCCAGGAAGCTAGAGCAGGGGCCAGGAGAGGCTTTAAGCGAGAGGAGGGAGGGGGAGTTGTAGCGCATTCGTGGTATGAAAGTGAACGGCAAACACTGGAGGCAGAAGGGGAAGAAGAGGGAGAAGAGAAATGGGCAGAGGGGGTCGACTAAAACACAGTAGGTATGACGGTGCCGCAGGAAACTTGCTACTTTGTGGGATGTTACAGAATAGTATACTACATTTCAAAGTACAGCCGGGTGATGGTGGTGCACGCCTTTAATCCCAGCACTGGGGAGGTAGAGCAGAGGCAAGTGGATCTCTGTGAATTCAAGGCTAGCCTGGTCTACAAGAGCTAGTTCCGGGACAGGCACCAAAAGCTACAGAGAAACCCTGTCTCGAAAAACAATGTTACAGGACATCCAAGGCTACACATAGAGACCCTGTCTCAAAAAAAAAAAAAAAAACTAAAATAAACAAAATAAAGAAAACACATTTCAAAGCAAAATATTTGAAATTCAAATATAAAGAAAAAATATTAAGAAAAATGAAATGACATAAACACAGCCCACGAACGAATTGGAAATCTTGATAACAAGTATCATAAAGACTGGTTTCAACGATTTCTTTCAAATCTATTATCAGGAAACAGTAAGCAACGAGTAGAAAACTCAGCAAATAATATCAGCAAGCTTTCAAAAGAACGAAAGAAAAATAAACAGAAACAGTTCAGTGGAAATTTGTAAGATTTCCTAACTACTTACAATTAAAAAAATCCAAATCCAATTAAGAGCATGCCACTGTCCACCTGTCCAGCTGGCACAGACACCCAGAGCTGGTGCCCAGAGCTACGAGCATATGAGAAAACAGACACCGTCCTGCCACGTGGAGGAAGGGACATCTGCGCAACCTTGCCGGAGGACATCGTGGTAAGAGCCGTTAACGGTAAAATAAATGACTCCTACTCTGAACCCAGGAAGCCCACTCCTAGAAACTCACCACACAGGGCTGTTCACACACAGCATGGCAGCAAACAAGACGTTCTTTCTCATTGTGACTCCATACAAAAAGGAAAAAAATCCCACATGGACTTCTCCCTCCGCCACACACACCTTTTTAATAACATCCCTGAAATGAAACACGATACAGCATTTTTACAAGGCCCCCCGGGTGAAGCTGGGGAGATGATTCAGCAAGGCCCTGAGTTTGTGTTTTTGAACCCACGTGGAAATCAGCTGTGGTTGAATACGCAGTTATAATTCCAGCATTTGGACTGCACCATGGGAGGCGGGAACAAAGGGATCCCTAGGAGCTTGAGAGATAGATAACCTTAGAGAACTAACAAGAGACAGTCTCTACGAAGGGAGA